AAACATATTTTCTTATCTGAAGAACTGATGGTTAAATCACTTCAATTTTTATTTAATTTAAATAAAACTATATTCACCTGTTAACTTATTATATTAAAAGCAATGATTGGCATTCTTTTGCAAAAAAATTAATGGTTCATTTCAATAAATTCTTGAGCCTAAAAATCCTTGTCTGAATAATTATTTTTCTTTTCATCAGTACAAGGATAGTTTCAAAAATAAGAATGAAATTTCTAAAAAATTTTTTCACAATCTTTAAAAATAATTTTAATTTTATATTATTGGCTTGAGCCTGTTAAAATTTTAAACTAACAAATTATATTAAACAGTATAAAATCCTTAAAAAAGGCGAAAATATTTTTATTTAATAATATCAATGGAAGATAATACTTTGAATGAAATCGTAATAGTACAAAGATCATCAAAAAATTTAAAAATCAATAAACTAAATTATGCAACCAAATCGATGGTTTTCTAACGCAATCTCGTATCTCAAAAATGACAATTTTAGAGATGAGGTGAAAAATAGCTTATAAAAAATTAATATTCATCTAAAAACAATATTTATTAATTGTATTTTCTAAAAATACTATCGTATTTATTATTAATCTGGTTAATATTTTTTTCAGTAACGCGTTAATAATTAATTATTAATTTTTCAATTGAACCCTTTTATCTTCAAAAATCGAGATACGTGGTTGCGTTAGAAAACCCTCGAAATAGTCGGGTTTCTTAAAAGTACTTTTCTTGATTCAAAATTATTTCTCTATGATAATCCCACTACCATTTCTATCATAGTACAATACATAATAAATAGGACCTAGATTATAGGACAAATAGTTAAACAAAGCGAATAATTTTTAAAGAGTACTCAAATAACAGCACGCTGATTTACCCGGCTTCAAGTATCTGGGTATTGTAATAAGAAGCAGTACAACATTGTATACATGTTACACTTATGTGTCTTTACTGTTGAATGGGGTAACTTACCGCCGGGCCAGAAAACACTGGTGGACACGTGTATACTGGCACGTGAGTTTTGAACGCGTTGAACCATGACATGTTCACCCCTTGTAGTTATCCCGTCAGGGGTTCCTTGTTCTGGATCAAGACCACTGGCCCCTTCCTGTAAGCTTTTTCTCCATTCCAGACATCCAGTCCCAGTCCCTCTTTTTTCATTCATAGTTATCACGAATATTGATGATATCTTGATTGTAATTTCCATTTTTAGTAACTAACGCCCACAATTATTTTCAAATCGATATTGAAAGAAGTAGCTTACTTTTTTTTTATTATTTGAGTTATTTTTATTGGAATGAATTCATTCCGAAACCGCATTTTTTTCAAATTAATACTATGTATATATATAGATAGATATATATTCAGCCCAAGGGACAGTTTGTCCCGGCAAGACTCCCAAGGGAGTTAAACTCTCGTAGACGCCCTCCGGGTGCATGAGGCAGGTTCACATCTGTCGTCCTCCTTCAGTAGATACCATCCTATTCTCGATCTGAACTTTTGCAAAAAAGTTACTCTATAAAATAAACCAACACCCCTTTTTACATCTCCAATGAAAACTCTTTTATGTCCAGCTCAATTCATACACTTATTTAAAAAGTTTTTTTAAGCTAATAAAATTAGTTTCTTTTTTCCTACAATTAAAAGAGAAATTAACTGATAATTGAAATAAATGATTTGAACACCAATTTAATATTAAAAATAATCAGCTAAATAAATAAAAAAAAATTACTTTTACAAAGATTTTATACTGCATTTAATATAGATATGTTACTTGAAGAAAACTTATGGTTTAAAAAGTAAACTTTTCTTCTCAAGATTCAAGTACATACATAGATTCAATGGCATGAAGAATCAAAAACTAAAATATTAATTATAATGCATAATTCTTATAATTACCAAGTATTCCAGATTAAAAAAAAATTCATCTCAACATAAATAATGCCATTTTTTAATATAGTTTTAAAATCCTTTTACGAACAGATACCGAAATCTCAACATAAATTTAAAACCCAGAAAGCTCAAATTATAATTTTTGAAACAAGATCTAAACAATATTACGAATAAAATTAGAGTAAAATAAAGACAAGTTTTTTTTTCCAATATTTTGTGTTTACACAGTAAAAAATTTTGCGTCATTGCGTCAAAAAATTTTGTGTTCAAAATTTTTATGTTAAATATATAACACTTTTTTGTGTTGATTTAATACTTTTTGGTGTTGATTTAATACAATAAATATTAAATCAACACCAAAAAGTGTTAAATATTTAACACAAAAATTTTTAACACTAAGTTTTTTGACGCAATGACGCAAAATTTTTTACTGTGTACTTTTTGAATAAGTTGTAAAAATTTGACATAAAAGTCACTCAAAAAATCTAAAAAATGTGAGGATAAAATAGCACACTTAATGTGTTATGCAAGTGTACTTTACTCTTTATTGCTGCATTTCAGAAATTATGAATTTTTTTTTGCTTCGGGTAAAGTAAAGTAAAAGAAAAAATCTTAAACTATAAGAAAATCTTTTTAAAGAGTTTCATTACTCTCCAGTTAAGCAAGAAAATATTCGAATTTAATAAAATATACTTGAACGAAGAAATACTTCGATAATTTTTCTGCTTAATTAAAAATAATCAAAATCTTAAAAATTATGTTTTTGGTTCAAGATTTTTTTTTCAAAGAAGTGAATTTTTGTATTAATGTGTTATTAAAACTTTAATTGTTAGTAAACAAAATTGATACTTTTTTACTTATATAAATATAAAGAACTATAATTTTAAAATAAAAATTATAAAATTTTGTAACTGAAAAAAAAGAAATTACAAAGAATACACAGACAACATACGAATGCAATAAATGGAACATATGTTTGTTAAATTTTAGTAAATATATTTTAAAAGTGACGATGTATAAAACTAAAGCTGTACTATCGATCGATCTATCTAGTATCTGTTAAGTCTGTAGGGAATACTCAAAACTCACTACCCAACAAGTCGAAACTGCTTGATACTCTTTTTGTTGATGCACATTGAAGATTGTTGCCCGGGGCGAAAACACATCAAAATCGAATTCACCAGATGTCCAAAACTAAATTTTGGTGTGGGTATAGACATTGTAACTATATGTTGGGGCACGCAGGGTGCTTATACACATGGGACACCACTACGATATGTTTCTTCTCTATCTCAATTTAGTAACAATCGAATGATAAAACGAGAGAGAACTAATCACATCCGGTAATAAACCGTGTAACTACGTAGCAAGGGGACTTTTAAAACTGAGACCACAGAAATCTCGGAGGATATAAAGGGAAGAAGACCTAAATTGTATCAAATTAGAGAGTCATTCGGAAATTATAGTTTCCGATGTTTTCCTCCGAAATCGAATTACTATTTTTCAATATTTTTTTGTCTTACTATCTATATACTATACCTTTTATATATATTTTAACTGAAAAATAAAAATGTAAAACAAAAAAAAGGTTAATAACAAAAAAATACTTCTAGACAACTGTAAAATTTTACGGAAATACCAGGTGGTTTATTATTATTTTATTTTTTAACCGCAATGCATAGTAGCGAGAGTATGAATATGATACTATATCTGTACATTTATCACTTAGACACAAAAAGTATTTTATTTAATATATACTCTTTCATATATCTTTATTTATTTATTCTCCCTTACTTCATTATATTTCTTCTGACCTTTCAATACATTTTCTTTATCATCATCATCATCATCATCATCAGCATACATATATTTACATCGATAGCCGTTTCATCAGTTTTTATTGATAAACGTTCTATCATTATTTTAATATTCATATTTATGGCTATTTAGTACAATTTTGTATAAGATTACCGTTAAAACATATTAATCAAGGATATGCGCTATGTAACGTAATATAATCACAAAAAATTGATCAAAAATATTATATACTGTACAAAACAAATCGAAGTGTATAATAATTATATGGTGTTTTCATGACAAACCAAAAATTTGTTTTTTATTGTCAATATCAATAATTAGTTGTTTGTACATTTAAAAAGATGCTGTTTGAGCGTCTCAACTATACTCATATATATCATCGAAAATATATTTGATGTGCAAGCAACGTATTTGAATCAAAATAATATTTATATATTAAATAAATTTGTTCATAGAACCGGTTTAATTAATATAATCCATGATTAATTCGTCTTTACGGTAGTACATTATTTGTTTAGAACTTCAAATAAACGAGCGCAAATTTTAATTAATATTATTTAGTTTATATATAAACATAAACATTTATTTATATTATGTATATATTTATGTGTATCTTTATGTATATTTGTATAATTGTGTATAAATTTTCTCTGTTATTTATTTATCTGGTTTCAAGTGCAGTTATTAATTATTGCACGTGTAAAAAAAGCTTTTATCTACAGGATTTTATGCGATAATTAACATTTAATATTATAATCAACAAGAAAACATATTACATGACAGGATAATTTTTGAATTTTGTACACAATAATAATAATAATAAAAACAATAATAATAGTTGTAATAATAGTAATAATTATAAAAATAATAATAATAATAATAATTAACATAATAATGATTATACATAATTCTTGTAAATAATAACTCATAATTATAATAATTAAACTAATAGTTGAATTTGTAATAATCGTTTTTACAAAACAAAAAAAAAAAACTAATCGCTATGCGATTTTCTTCTATAACTGGAATTAAATTGTCAGTTATTGACCATCAGACTCGATCATTATCATTATAATTTACTAGTATATTCTTTGATATTACAAATTTATTAAATCAATTTGTTTTAACTATATTTGTTTATATTTATACTATTGTATTGTAATATTTAGCAATATACTGTTAAATTTTTAGATTCAGCTCACAATCGATACCGCACAATCGAGTCCGAATGGATGTTACGGTGGATAAGATTAATTAAACATAAACTTGTTCTACCAGACGAGGCCCTCGCTTTGCATCTGGTGCTGCTGTTCAGGAAAGCCACCGCCACCGCCTCCTCCACCACCGGGACCGCCACAATTACCACCTCCACCAGGATTACCTTGCCCGCCACCTGAAAATTTTAGAGTAATAATCGATCTATAAAATATCTAACAATAGGCTACTCGAATTAAAACTATGCTAACAATCATCGCTATTAACACTTCGTTCGGATTAATGTCTTGAGGGATAAATTAAATAAAAATTTTCTAATGCGCCATAAATAGTTGGTTTTAAAAATTTATTGCTTAATTTTACAGCTCTTATTATATTATTATACGATTATGAATTCACTTTAAAAGTTCTTATCTTTAAATGAGTGATTGTACACTGAAAAAGAAATTAACTTAATTCGAGAGGAAAATTTTTGAACCAAGAAAATAATTTTGAAGAGGGTAATTATCTTAAAATTCTTGAATCAAGTAAAATTTACTTAAACCAAGTAAAAATTTCTTAGTTTGAGAATTTTTTTACTCAAACCAAGATGAAATTTTTCAAAATTATATACTTAATTCAAGAACATTTTTTTTCTGTGTAGTATACCGGAAAATAGGTTTATTTGAATCAAAAAAATAATAAGAAAGATCAAATTAGTCGTACATGGTTAAAGTAAAATATTCCTTGAAACTAGAAAGTTTTTTTATACTCACGAAAATTTAATTTCGCCCAAGATATACGGAAAAAAATAAACTTTAATGTTCACTCGGATTCCGGTTAATTTTTATAGTTACAAACAGTAAAGCGGACATTGGGATGGCAAAAATATAAATTTTACATAACTTGATGTAGAAAATATAAAAGCCACAATTTATAATTTAATATCCAAAATAAGTAATTAGTAGCTGTTACCATAGTCAATAACGACTCTTTCATCTTTAAAAATTACAGTTTCAAACAGTAAAAATTACCATTTCAATAAATATTCACTATTATGAGGAGAAGGGGAACTCAGATGAAAGAGAAGGGGGTCTCACTCTGGGAGAATTTAACATTTGAAACAGTAAAAATTATACTTTTAAAATATACATTTTACCAGTCCAAGCAAGTCAATAATTACAGTTTGATTTTTAGCGTTGCGTTTAAAATTTACCATTTTACTTTGTAAATATTGACGTTGCTTGTATTAGAAATTTACTAACTTTATTTTATACTTTTTACATATCATAACATCATTTTTTAGGTACGAAATGATAAATATCAAAGTCTGAATTCATAATTATTACACTTTAACATTTTAGACATTTACATAGCGAATATTACTGTTTGAAATAGTATTTACTTCCATGTAAAGAGTAAATTGTAACGTTTAAACGGTAAATATTATAAAGTGAATAGTAAAATCACGATTTTACTGTTTGAAATGGTAATTTTTAGCAGTTGATCATTACTTATTATAAATCGATATTATAAATTTATTACAGTTTACTTTTTTCCGTGTAGTTGTTATCTTTAAAAACATTTTATTGAGTAAAGAGAATTTTTTTCTTGACCCACAAATTATTTTTTTCTGTGTTCACTTAAAATTATGACACGAGCCTAATAAGATTGTGATGCATTTAAAACAGAACGATCCGTTTAGTGGTGTGTATTTTCTAAACATCAATTAGTAAAAATTCACTTTTAATTAGCAAATAATTACCAATTATTGGGGAAATGAAATCTTAGTGATCCAATTTTAACTTCAAATAATTAAATGCTCACTAATTTATGTAAATGAGTTTGTAAAAGCTCCTGTTGTGAATGTACTATGATGTTAGAGGTAATTATCATCAAATACATCAACAAAAATGAAGGAAATTAAATATTTTATTAGAAAAAATTTAATCTGTATGGTATAATGTGTAATGATAATTGGAATAAATTTTAAAATAAGCACTTAAACCTTGACTTTTCAAAAGACCACATACAAATGATTTATTTTTGACATCTAACTTTTATAAAAATTTATGCAAAATCAATCGAAATTTATGATCGTTTTTTTTTTATTTATATAGTGGGTCACGCTCGAATTTTTGAAACATTACAAGTTTAGATCTAATCGGTTTATTCGTCTGATCGTCAATGTTAATTTGTTAATTAATTTTAATTGTTATGGAAGCGATTTGTAGTGGTAAAACAATCTAAATCGATTCACTCGACAGTTATGAAACATTATTTGCACCTAGAACCCTGATAATAATCGGATAGCTATTCCAAAGGCTCTAAAACATTGACATCTATTGGAAACACAAAAGTTTCGACAGAAATAATTTAACTGCAATAAATGCTTTTTTCTCTGTTTTTTATTTCAAATTTTTTTACAGCTGAACAATAAAAAATTATTTCAGTTATTAATTTGTTTGTTGAAAGATATTTTTAATAAATGTGTACACTTCGAGATCTTAATAATAAACTGTGCAGTCATTTATGGAAGGATGAGTATATTTATGCATGAAATTATTAGTTAAGTGTGCATGAGTTAAAATCAAGAGATAAATTACAGTTTGTTTCCTTTTTTCACTCTAGTAACTTTGGCTTTGAAGTTAAATGAAAAAAAATCTTCATAAAAAGTTACCTTACACTTAAGATATCATTCGGTTTTAATGAAGAAAATATTTTCATACTTCAAAAGTCGATTAAATCTAAATGTATTACTTTAATTATTCTCTCATTTATTACTTATTAAATGATAGTGGCCTTATTTTTTAATGATACGATATTCATTTTTCAAATAAGAATTACATATAACAAAGAAATCTGTAAGCGAGGTATATTAATAGTAATAGAGTAATATTTTTGGAGTTAGTATTAATTTTTAGACGTTGTAATTTTATTATATGTGCTAATTACTAAGTTCAGTCTGTTACATGTTTTATAGAGCCGGATGAGGGGGCCGCTATCTTCAACACGTTATGTTGGATAATATATGTGTCGATAAATACACAAGTCTTGTATTCTTCACTCGGAACAAGATATTTTAATAATTGGCTCAATGTATTCATTGGTAGAAAAAATAACTCGATTCAAGAGAAAAAATCGTGAATCAAGCAAAATTTTTCTTAATCTAAGACAATTTCTTAGCTCAAATAAATTTAACCTGGTTTAAGAAATTTTCGGCAAAATTCATGATGATTGAATCATCCAAAATGACTTTTTTGGGTCAAGATTTTTTTTCTTGAATTAAATTAATTTTTTTATCAGTTTAGGCGGAAGAAAGTAAAATAATTACATAAAACATACCCTGACATAACTTCGTATCTCAAAAATTCATATTTTTGATAAGTAATACGAATAATAAGTGACTTTTAAATATTTATATTTATCATTAAAGTTTAATTATTTTTCGATATATTTGAAGAAAAATTTTACTATTAAAAATATTAAAATAATTATGATAGCACCAAAAATAGTCAAAATCTGAATTACGAGGTTACCTCAGATTACCCTTAACATTAATATAAATTAAACATATTTGATCAAAAAATTAAAATTTTTATCATTGTACATCTCCTAATTTTGCCTAAAAATTTCAGAAAAAAACTTCATTTTATCAATTAAATATTTTATTTTCATATGAACAATTATTATTTACATCCAAAAATTATTGTAGTCTAAAATTGACCTAGATCTTATTCAGCAGTTGTATCACAGACCATTATAATAATTTACAATATATATACAGTAAAAAAAAAACTGTTATAAGAGTTTTAGTGGCATGTCTAATGAGCTTTTATGTAAAAGGTGAAATGGAAAAAGAAGAAAGATACAGATTGTTGAAATCTTTAGTGATGAGCCTACCTGTAGGTGCTAGGAACTCTCCGGGACTGCCGCCCGACGGTGGTTGAGGTCCTTGGCCCGGAGGTCCCGTGAGAAATTCCGGGGGGCCTCCCGCGGCGCCTGGTGGTGGATACTCCCCCGTAACAGCCGCTGCCGCCATCCCCCCTATACTGGCAGGGTCGAGACCTGTCACAAACAGGTTGGGAACTGATCAGAGAATATCGTACCGTGTTTCCATCTCCGAATAGCCTGCCATTTCTCAACTCAAAATTTTATTTTCCAATAAAACGTAATCGACATTAAATAAAAGCAACAAAAGAAAAAAAAAATAACAAAAAAACTTTTGGAATTAATAAGAAAATTCATTAAAAATGATGTTGCATTCAATCAATTTGCCAACTCACTGGGATTACCTGGACCAGCAAACGGCGGTCCATGCGGATGTGGAGGCCCATGTGCTCCAAAGAACTCATGATGAAACGGAACAGGACCCCCATATCCAAAGTCAAATTTATCAGTTGGAAAATAAGAGAATCCTGGAGGTGGACCATCGTCTCCTCCCAGAGCTCCATGGTTCAGGTTCAATGGGAATCCGCGCATTTTTCTAGAACCATTGAAAAACGGACTCCTTCCCATTGTCGTAAGTTGTTTCAACCTCCGTTCTTTACTCCTTTTGTTTTGAAACCATACCTGCCAATAATTAATTGTAAATTCAAAGATCAATTAACTAAATAAATATTTTTCTATTTTTTTATTGCTTAAATTATAGAGCAAAAAATACCTGTATCACTCGCATAGGTAAACTAGTTTCTTTCGCAAGTTGTTCCCTTATATGCCGGGTCGGTTTTGGCGTTGCAGAAAACGCCGTTTTCAATATTTCTAATTGTTTAGCTTTTATTGTAGTTCTTGGCCCCCGTCGCTTCGATCCCGCACCACCATCGCCGCTGCCTCCACCAGCACCGCCGTCAGGACTTTTGTTTTCTGTTTGACTATCTCTAGTTTCAGGATCACCATCTAGGGAACCTGTTTTCAAAATAAACAGACCACAATTATTAATTTATTTTATATTGATTTTATTTTCAATTAGAATGCAATTTAATAACAAAACTAATTAATTTATCCGAAGAAAATTAATTGCACGCCTCAATACGCGGCAACTTTATTCTCGATGTACCATCTAGTCGATTTTCGGATAACCTTCAGTAATCTTTCTTATCAAACTAATTATCGATTAAAAGATATATCTTCATAAAAGTCGATAAATTTCCCCAGTATTTTATCATAAAATTTATTGTAAATATGTATTCATCTTATTTTCTGATGTGCATATTTAATTACACTTCTGATGTTTCCTGTATATATTTTTCATCCATATATCTAATGTATTTACTTTCCTATGTTTCAATAACACCCCGGTACACAGAAAGAAAAAGGTTGACTTGATTCAAAAAAATTTTCAGGAAATCTAAGTTGTTATGGAGCAGAGAGAAATTTTTTTGAAAAAAAAAAAAAAAAAAATGCTCTTGGCTTAAAAAAATTTGTTTCACCTATGATTTATTTTTATTTTTCTAAATATGTTCTTGACTCAAAATTAAAATAATTTCACGCAAGAATTGAATGTTTTTTTATCAATAATATAGAAAGAATTAAAAAATTTTTTTAATGAATTACATTTACTTAATTTCACTACACATAGACTCCGTTTATTATTTATTTATTTAATTTTAATGCCAAGGCGTTAAGCCGAATGGCAAATTTTACATACAAAGATAGTGTTCAAATAAGTACAATAAATTTTGAAGTATTAATAGAATACATAAAACAAATTGCAATTAAAACAAGAGTGTAAATCCAATTTTTATATACATCACAATATTATGTTATTTTCCAGCATACTAATTTCTAACTATTCATTACTCATTAGAAAATCGAACAATATATTATCATGTGTTGAAAAAATTTTTTTCATAATCACAAAAATTAATAAAACTCTTATTCTACTGTTATAGGTGTATAAATACCCAGATCAGCAGGTACTCGATCTCTTATTCTGTTTCTGTCTTAAAACCCATGATCCTTAACCCCGCAATGTTTTGTTTCGCAATGTATATGTATCCGTTACCCATCGACGCGTATTATTGACAGTATAAAAATCAAAAGGGTCGGTAGGTCCTGTATACGTATCACATAATATCCCCTGCAGCATTATTACTATAAAGAGAGCGAGTTAAAAGCTATAGGGCATACCGCGATAATCTTGTACATATCGAGCGATTGCAGGGAGGTCTTAACCACGGGACAAAGAAAATGTTTGGACAGTGTCATATCGTACAACAGGACACCCCTTGAAGATACCCTCGTACTTAGAGCGGATGAAGAGCACCTACCAAACACTATACTATCAAATCCCCAATTCTATACTGATACTCACCATACTGCAGAAAGTTATCATGTATATTATATATAAATATATACAAAGCGACTATATAAGAGAAAAAAAAAAGAGTGCGGAAACCATTGTCAGCATTTTTTCTACCCTACCTTGGATAAAAGAGCCGGTTAGAAAAAGTGGATAATAAGTCGCTCGCCCGTAAGATATATACTTTGTAAATATTATATGGTCGGATGGTTATAATCGCTTTTTGATACACTCTCCATAGTATGGTACGCCCGTTTGTTTTCAAATTTACGCAGCAATAGATGAACGATATACTTTTTTGTTCTTTATTACGAGAATTATAATGATGCTTTTAGAGAAAAGGAGGATGAGTAAAACAAAGTAACTCTAAAATTCGGTAGAAAATATTTTTTATCAAATTGTTTCTAAGCCTCAATTTGTTATAATAATATTCAGACATCATTTTCCGTATCCCAATTTTTTTTTTTTTTTTTTTTATTAACTATTTTAATGACCCTCATCGCGTAATTTAGCAAAATTTTTAATGTTTAATTTGAAAATTAATGTGTAAAAAATTATCATATCAAAAGAATTATTTTTATAGAATTTTTAAACTGTGACATTTAAGCGAACCGAATTTTTGATGTTATTGCCACGTTTATAGAATTATTTAAACAATAATTCAAAAATCCAGTAGCCAAAAAAAGTACAGTGGCCAAAAACAGTAGTTTTAACACTTATCTCTCATACATTATAGAGTAAGTTCAGAAATAACATTTCTTTTTATTTGTCTAATTAATTACAATTTCAAATCTTAACTGTAGCCTAAATGCCTAACAAAATAATTTTAATTTTAACTAAATTTTTAACTAATTTTTAAATAATTTTAATGTCAGCAATCCCATGACCGCCACAGTCTGTTAAAATTCACATTTATGTAGCTATGACCAAACTAAAATACTCTATATTTTGTAGTCTTACTTCCAATCTTACTAATTGCTGAACATGAACTACTAGTCAAAATATGTTTTAATCTTCCCTTTTAATTTTCCTACACAGCACTGGAATGCTTTAAAATATTATATTGTTCTTTTTACCAATTTTATTTATCAATAATCTCCCTTGCTAGAAATAAGTTATGTAACTATTTAAAGCAATAAATAAATAAAATAAAAATAAAATTCACATTTATATAACGCTAAAAATATTTTTTTTTTTTTTTTAAGAAAAAGTTTCTTTAAACCAAAAAAATTATAAGGAAGACAAAGTTGTTTTGAAAAAACTTTCTTGAAATCAGAAAATTTTACTCAATCCAAGATAGATTTTTTCTTCTTAAATATTTTCTTGAGTCAAGAATTTTTTCTTTCTTTGAGAATGTCTCCTTTCATATCATGTAAAGTATCTTAACAATATTTTTTATTCCCAAATCAATGTGATTGATTTTAGTAAAGTTGAATTTAAAGTAATAATAGAAATAAAAAAAAATTGAACGCAATAAATATTACGAAAATTCATTATTGTCTTCACATTCCTGTATCGCTCCGCCCTAACATTAAAAAAAAATTCCTTACCTAAAAAGAGACAATCTATAGTAGCAATAGAATTTGGTCTAGTAACGTGGTCTTGTAGTTGCAGTAAAACTAGTTTTGAAGTAGCTACATGATAAGCCGGAATTAGTCCTGCGTAACTGTGACAGGATTAATCAGAGCTCTCTGCAACCCAAGTCCATGTTACAGGACTAAACCCTTGTTGCAACTACAGATATTTTTTGAACATTATCGTAATTCTTGCTAAGAAAAAAAATAATCAATCCAATTTATTAACTCACCCAGATCCTCAGAGTCTTCTTGCTTGCAGGAATCACTCCCAAGAGGTAGGTCACTGACATGCCCGACACTCTGTTCACCCGTACTACCCGGACCTAAACTATGTGGTCCAAGATGTGACCCACCCAATCCTTCGTGATGATGGAGGTGATTACTTCCATCTTCGTCCTCGTCTTCCGAGCCTGAACCCATCAGGGAGTCACCACCTGCGGGCAAAATCGGCGATTCTTTTACGAATCATCGACAAAAGTGTTGAATTAACTAAAAATGTATTTTTTAATTTTCGTTGTTAAATTTACAGTTAATTTTAAAGTCACTATTAATATTTAGCATCCTAACGCTCTTCAGCAGATACCTTAACGAAAATATTTGGTGTAATGCTTGGATTAAAAAATAGTAAGCGTACTCGATAGAATAATAAAGAGTAGAGTAAAAATGAAAAATGGATTATATGGCGATTCATAGAAAACTCATGGAAAAAATAATGACTATACTTTTGATTTAGTTATGGGCCAACGTCTTTACTTGGGCGTTTCTAGAACGAGTAGACCGAGCTGGCTGTGGTTATCCGTGGCCGACTGTCGGCATGCGACAAAAGAGAACCCGCTGTGTAACATAACGACCCTTGTATTCGTCTCACAGTTACAAAACCTCTCAAAATCACCGAGTATAGAGATCAAACCAAGACGAAGACGGTGAAATAAAATAACGTTGCAAGTATTATTTTTTATACACTCTGATATTCACACGCATTTACTTATAGCCCATACATATGTATGTACATTTACTATAAATTCTGACTCTCTCTCTTTCACGCATACTTCCATGCCCATCTTCCTTAAAAGAATAATATTAAATATAAACACCGAGAAGTGAGAATAAAACGAGATCTTGTGCACTTTAATGTCCTTCTTATCCTCTAAGCTCTGTGACATGTTGATGCACCACCGACCAACGATACACTCGTATATTTTCACAGCTTGTCTGACATCAACCCAACGTTCTATATATTATTCTGCTCTAAAGAATTCACTAAAAAAATAGAGGACAACAACCGTACCCATCTACCCCTAGTTTCAGAAGCGTTGTACCGTTGTGTTCTGAATTTATTTTTTCTACATGTATTATGTTATTCAATTTGAAGAGTTCGAATACATTTATATAAAAATTCGGCTATAACACTGTTAAAAATAATGTAAAAGTTACTGACGAAATTAAATGATTTTTCTTAACTTGACCTTTGAATATTTTCAATATTTTCAATAAAATAAAAAATTAATTAGTAAACAATTAAAATCAAAGAAATAATTATAAATTTCTACATGTTTTTTATTTTTTTATTAAGACGTATAAAATTTTAATATTCCTACTTGAAATTTCATTACAGTTATGTAAAAAATTCAAACACTTTACATTGAATCTATATGCGTATTAATTTAACTACGCGTTCTGTGTTTAGAATTGTGTGTGTGTAATAATAACAATATAAAAGAGTAACGTCATACATGTATAGGGTACCAACGATCTTATTATTGTGAAGTTTTTAATATGCTCAATCTGTTGTAAAAAATCCAGCAAAAGTTTTTGAAACAAGAAATTTTACTTGGTTCAAAACTTTTTCTATTTGAATTAAGATAAAGAAATTCTTCAAAGTGACTTTCTTGGTTCAAAATTTTTCTCTTTAATAAAGTTAATTTTTTTCAAAATACTTGGTACACTGAAAAAAGAAATCCTTTCACTCAATTAAATTTCTTGGTTCAAGAAACTCGCTGACGATCAAATATTCTATTATTGTTAATTATTAATTTCTGAAGAGAAGAACATCAATATTTATGTTTGGATAATAGATAAACAAAAGAATAGCTTTATTTGAATTAAGTAAAAATTATTTCAAGAAAATTTTCTTAATAAAAGTATTTTTTTTCTCAGTGTACACGGAAGAAAGTAAACTGTAATAAATAACAGTCGATTTATAATAAGTAATGATCAACTGCTAAAAATTACCATTTCAAACAGTAAAATCGTGATTTTACTATTCACATTGTAATATTTACAATTTAAACGTTACAATTTACTGTTTACATGGAAGAAAATACTATTTCAGACTGTAATATTCGCTATGTAAATGTCTAAAATGTTTAAGTATAATAATTAAGAATTCAAATTTTGATATTCATCATTTCGTACCTAAAAAATGATGTTATGATATGTAAAAAGTATAAAATAAAGTTAGTAAATTTCTAATACAAGCAACGTCAATATTTACAAAGTAAAATGGTAAATTTTAAACGCAACGCTAAAAATCAAACTGTAATTATTGACTTGCTTGGACTGGTAAAGTGTATATTTTAAAAGTATAATTTTTACTGTTTCAAATGTTAAATTCTCCCAGAGTGAGACCCCCTTCTCTTTTATCTGAGTTCCCCTTCTCCTCATAATAGTGAATATTTATTGAAATGGCAATTTTTACTGTTTGAAACTGTAATTTTTAAAGATGAAAGAGTCGTTATTTACTATAGTGACAACTACTAATCACTAATTTTGGATATTAAATTATAAATTTTGGCTTTTATACTTTCTATACAAAGTTCTGTAATATTTACATTTTTGCCACCCCGATGTCCGCTTTACTGTTTGAAACTATAAAAACTAACCGGAACCGAGTGAATATTACAGTTTACTTTTTTCCGTGTACAAATACGTTAATCACTATTTTTCTTTACGACAAGTAAAGAGTTTTAATATAATTTTCTTGAAATTTCAAATTTTCATCAACTTCAATTAATCTTTAATCACGATTCATTTTCACAAAATAAAATTTTGATCGTTATTTAAACCAATTACTTAAAAATTTCTTAATTTATTAAAAACATGGGATTTAATAGTCTAATACTGTACGAAACATTTGATTTTGAAGTGGACCTGTTTCAAATTTAGTAAGACGTAAATCACATAACTCTGAACTGATGAAAAAAGTTTCAAGGAAGAATAATATCGAGAAAAAAAAAAAAAACATCTAACGAGTCGCTGGAGCGTTTCCTAATCCCGCGGTTTGAGAGTGACTTCTTGGCGTTTCGTTTTCACGTGGATACGCGTACGGATGACTTACCATGATGACTATGAGCGTGACGGGCGTCCGGCAGGGGCTTTCCCGACAAGTAGTCTTGCTTGCAGACAAACTTGTTGTCGTCCAGGACATAGAGCTCCTCGCCAGTGCTCAGCTGCCTTCGACAAACAAGGCAGGTGAAGCAGTTTAGATGAAAAACTTTATCTCTTGCCTTTCTCACAAGGTCTTGGGGGCTTATGCCTTGAAGACATCCACTACACTTTGTTCCATATCTCCTGTAGCAACAAATAAAAATAAATATACACATTATTATGTACAGTTAATACTCAACTGTGTCGTTTCATTAAATGAAAGTGTAGGTATATGATAATAAATCATTGATTGCATGTGCATCTACACGTATAAATTCTTGCTAGTCAGGTGTTAATTTATTTCTCATAGCTTATTTACTATTTTTATTATTATGAAATTATTTAAGAATTTTTTTATTGCTGACAAAAAAATTAGACGGCTATGCAAACAAATCAATAAATCTGTTTATCGATGATTGTCATTTATTAATAATGATGTTTATTGAAATTATTTGTAATAAATTATATTAATTTAGATGTTAATAAATTAACATTATTATATTGGACATAAATTAGATGAAAAAAAAAGTAGAATGACAAGATAAAATATTTTTAAAAATACGAATTTAATAGTTTGGTGATTAATTAGTGATTTTAGCGAAGGCTATAGACATCGAGACAAACGTACAAATCAAAATTTCTTCTTAAAATAAATTGGATGATTATTTGACACAGAAAAAATTATTGAGCCTAAAGCAATTTTTTGAAAAAAAAAAAAAAAAAAAAAAAAAAAAAAAAAAAACGAATGAAACAGAACATAGATGAGGTAAACGAAAGAATTTTTATTGAAGTAATAAATCAAAAAAAATAAACCTGAAAAATTATTTATTATTGTACTAATTAAGAAAAAAAAATTTCGCTAGCTTAAATGTTAATTTTAATTTATTGGCTTCTATTATTCTAATTATTAAATCAAATTACATTTAAAACGGGAAATTACATTTTTTTTCGAGCGTATTTTTACAGAATTCAAATTCTAATAATTTATGAAAATAAAGTTAGCCGACATTTCAGAATTTTTAGAAATTTTTTAATGAAAAAATTTCAATTAAACAATTAAAAAAAAAAATTTCACACGTAAAAAATTTGAAAAACTATGAGTGCAATTTTTTATAAATGTCTTTTTAGTTGTAATTTAATGCTAACTTCAGTATCATAATAATTTTACTTATATTTTTATACATTTTTCTGACGGATTTCTCAATCATTGACACTGATTAGATTTTTGTGTTAATCAGTGTCATTGAAAAATTATTGATGAATTTTTCAATGAGATATCTCAATCAATTCGACCAATTTCGATAGCTCTCAGTATTACGAAGTAGTGACCTTCTCGGATTTTTAAATAAATTAGTCAAGTAATTTGAAAATTCCATAAAAACAACATGGTTAACCAAAGAATTTTGTTTTCGAAAATCTTTATGAATGTTCAATAACTCATCTCATTAGCTGACTAAAAAGATATCCTTTTTAGAGATTTTTAACATTTTAAAAAAAATTGGAATTTGAAATCATTTGCAATGAAAAAAAAAAAATCCTCTGTTCAATTATGAACTGTGCTTATCTAGGAAAAGAAATTTTTTGGTTTTTTAATTTCCGATAAAGCTATTACGAGTTATCGTGACCACTGCCAGCACCCTCTTTTTTAAAATCTCCAGAAATTAATTTACACTGGCTCAATTTCCAACATTTTATGATAAAAATTTATGAGAATACTATTTAAATTTTCTATCAAAGTCTATGGTGTACTCCATGTTTTAAACACAGTTAGTTATGTATCATATGGGAAAAAAATTCAGGTAAACATGCTTTTTTTCGTTCAAAACCTATGTAATCCCTTAAATTTTTTCACAAAGATTAATAAAATTTCAAAAATATTGAGCACTGAAAGAGATGAAATATTTATTCTTCAACAACTTTTTTAAAAAAAAAAAAAAAAAAAAAAAAAAAAAAAAAAAAAAAACGAATGAAACAGAACATAGATGAGGTAAACGAAAGAATTTTTATTGAAGTAATAAATCAAAAAAAATAAACCTGAAAAATTATTTATTATTGTACTAATTAAGAAAAAAAAATTTCGCTAGCTTAAATGTTAATTTTAATTTATTGGCTTCTATTATTCTAATTATTAAATCAAATTACATTTAAAACGGGAAATTACATTTTTTTTCGAGCGTATTTTTACAGAATTCAAATTCTAATAATTTATGAAAATAAAGTTAGCCGACATTTCAGAATTTTTAGAAATTTTTTAATGAAAAAATTTCAATTAAACAATTAAAAAAAAAAATTTCACACGTAAAAAATTTGAAAAACTATGAGTGCAATTTTTTATAAATGTCTTTTTAGTTGTAATTTAATGCTAACTTCAGTATCATAATAATTTTACTTATATTTTTATACATTTTTCTGACGGATTTCTCAATCATTGACACTGATTAGATTTTTGTGTTAATCAGTGTCATTGAAAAATTATTGATGAATTTTTCAATGAGATATCTCAATCAATTCGACCAATTTCGATAGCTCTCAGTATTACGAAGTAGTGACCTTCTCGGATTTTTAAATAAATTAGTCAAGTAATTTGAAAATTCCATAAAAACAACATGGTTAACCAAAGAATTTTGTTTTCGAAAATCTTTATGAATGTTCAATAACTCATCTCATTAGCTGACTAAAAAGATATCCTTTTTAGAGATTTTTAACATTTTAAAAAAAATTGGAATTTGAAATCATTTGCAATGAAAAAAAAAAAATCCTCTGTTCAATTATGAACTGTGCTTATCTAGGAAAAGAAATTTTTTGGTTTTTTAATTTCCGATAAAGCTATTACGAGTTATCGTGACCACTGCCAGCACCCTCTTTTTTAAAATCTCCAGAAATTAATTTACACTGGCTCAATTTCCAACATTTTATGATAAAAATTTATGAGAATACTATTTAAATTTTCTATCAAAGTCTATGGTGTACTCCATGTTTTAAACACAGTTAGTTATGTATCATATGGGAAAAAAATTCAGGTAAACATGCTTTTTTTCGTTCAAAACCTATGTAATCCCTTAAATTTTTTCACAAAGATTAATAAAATTTCAAAAATATTGAGCACTGAAAGAGATGAAATATTTATTCTTCAACAACTTGTTTTGGTATAATATAACCTTTGTAAATTATAATAACCTGCCAGTGTAAATAGAAGTTAAAAAATAATCACTATAGAATTATCATAATAATCAATACAAAGAAGGTGTAATTATCTCGATGGCAAAAAATTGTATCCAGAAATTGTAAGGCGAGAAAAGGTATTTGCACGGCATTTGATGACATATATTATAGAGGAGCATCATCAGAAGCTTTGATTTTTTTACAGTAGAAAGTATATATATCCTGAAGGCATATTTCGCGTTTGCGACTCCATCCTCACTCGCCTAATTACAGGAATTATTTAATTAATTATAGCAATTAGTTACTCCCATTCTCACAGTAAATTCACTGACTTTTAAAAATTTTTTATTTTTTGCACTCTGCTTCATTTCTTTCCATTCTTTTTTTTATTTTTTTACTCTTTTTTCTTTCCTTTTCTCTTCTTATTCTTTTCTCATCTCATTCACATATATTAACTGCATTATTATATATATTTCCAGTCTTTTATTTTATTTTCATTCAAAGTTGAATTTCATATGCGAAAACCTTTTCTACCTCGCATATTGGCTGACCGTGAAAATAAATCGCTAATAGACGAAGGCAAGAAATAGCCTAGTAGACTCTTGAGTCCAGACGCAAAAACAAAACAGGCTAAAATAAAATTGAAATAAAGTTATAAGGTTAAAAAAAAAAATAAAAGTGTTCAGAGTTTAGGTGTATAATAAGCTGATGAACTTTTTCTGAACTCTTCTCAAAAAAAAAAAAAAAAATAACAGATAAAACATAAAACAAAAGAATAAATTGCAAAAATGAAGATAAAAAAAAAATTTTAAGTGGATAAAAAAATTTTTTGAAAATAATAAACCGTAGATATATTCTTCTAGCTGAGAATAAAAAATCTATGTGGAACAGAGAATACTACATAAAAAACCAGAAAAAAGGGAAGAGATGGAGCACAATTTGTTATGGACCGGCGTTCACGGTTTCTCGTACGTGTCTCGTATTTTTTGTCCTTCTGTCCCACTCTCTTTTACTTAGGTCCCCAATCATTTTTGTACATTACATTACTTCTCACATAAATGACTTGTGCACATTAATTTTCTTATTTATAAATTAATAAAATGTATATATGTAAGTTTTTCTGTTTATCACTTCCCAGAGAACATGTAAGGATAATATACATTCATCATAAATGTACTGACTAGCGAGCTAATAACATATATGCTAACATAAATTCATCAAAGAACTGAACCCGTGAATTCAATGCCTTTCATTTGCTTCTACCAATTCACGATAGCGAGTACATGAAGTATGTGAAGGTGATGTGTATATAAGTATTTTATTAGTACTAAAGTAAACTTTAGATTTTAGAGTTTGATTTTATTTATCTCGCTATTCGTTAACTTCAAAACTAAAATCTACGTAACTGCACGTAAATATCTTAACTTATATAGGTTGATTACTTTTATGTATTAATTTTAGTTTTACTGCTTAATACTTCAATAGCGAGTTTTAGAAAATTTTTTATAATAAAACTTATTTTTAACTTAAACTTAAAAATAGTGGATAGTTATGTTTAGGGAGACCGGGGATAAAAGTTACTAGAACTACAATTATTATTATTGATACCACGTTTATATTAAATTCTTTCTTATATATCCGTTCACTCAGAGTATTGTAATTGATTATAAATTAATTCCTTGATGAGCTAGAGACATAACTTTGAAGAAAGCTTAGGATTGAATGACAATGCAAGAAAATGTGGAAAAATTAGAAAAAAAAATTAGAGGTGACAAAATTAAGAAGAAGAATATATTGCAATATAAAAGTACTTGTAAAAATTTATTTTTGTTAACTTTATAATCATATTTTTCAGATACATAGTGAGATAAAAAGAAAACGAACATATAGAAATAAATATAGAATTTTTTGCATATATTAAAACAAATCAAAAAAAATAAATAAAAAAAAATCTGTTAATAGTTCAAGAATTTTTCTGTTTAAATCAACAAGATTAAGTTCTTCAAAATTATATACTTGATTCAAGAACATTTTTTTTTCTGTGTAAAAATAAAAAACTAGTAATGGAATTAAATCATGTGATCAATTTACCACGTTTTTACAACGCACTAAAAAGTATAAAATAATTTTTCTCTATCTTCTGAAGAATAAAACCACATGCACACACCAACCTTCTTACAGCAATTGTCCTGGAAATTTGTCAATGTCAATTCTTAATAGCTATCAAAAAACTGGTAAGATTTGAAACGAAAAACATGGGTCGCATGCCATATACGTAACTAATATAAGAAGTGTAGGGAGTATACAGCTATATGAATAAAAGAACTTATTTGTCAGTTCCCATCATTTGCGGTGCAATAAAATGGTTAATTAAACTATTAATGCATCCATTTTTTGTTTCATGCGCCCACTTTTTTTCGTTTCAAATCTCACAAGTTTTTTTAGCTGCACAGAAAAAAATAAATATAAAAATTACAGTTTAAAATGATATTTTTGTAATTTCAATTTTAAACATCGATTTTTTTAGTTTTGAATGTCACTTCACATTTTTAAAAATGTCTTACAAAGTTTATAAAATTTTAATCTGAAACAGTGATTTTTTCAGCTTTTTTTTTCTCGAAGCTCCGCGTTACAATATAAAATGTAATTTTTGTATTTTTTTTCCGTGTATTAAAAATTGACTATGACAAATATTCAGAGAAATCCGTAAAAAAAGTATAAATCTATAAGTGGTTTTATTCTTTATAAGACAAAGAAATTATTACGTACTTTTCAGTGCGTTTTAAAAACGTGGTGTATTAAAAATTTTTTTCATCTTTATTGTTTTAATGTGACAATAATAATTTCATTAAATCATGAATTATTGTGACGAATAATTGTCCTTTTTTTATGAAAGTATCTTTGACTATAACTTAAAAATGATGAGCAATAATTTATGGCACTTGTCATCATATCGCTCAATTCCTACTTTATTTTTATTTCAAGTTCCAAAAACTATGAATTCTTTATTCTTTTTATAAAAAAATAATGGTGATTAATAATCAATAAATATACTAATAAAAATACTTTGATTTAACTACTAATTATAATATAATTGTGATTAATGATCAAAATACAGAAAAAAATCAAATTAATTTATGTTACGTAATTTATATAATACATCCGAGATAAAAATAGAATTCATGAATACATAAATGATACATTTTATTATATTTTTCAGTTTGAATCATTGAATTACTAATATTAATATTCATAATTTGTTGAATCGTCGAGATAAAGCTTTTGTTTCGGTACTACATAAAAAGCCGGAAAATTCGATGGCTCTCTTCTCATCAGCTATTGTTTTTGCCATGAATAATATTCATTCAGAAATTAATTGTTCAGCTTGAATTAAAATAGATAGTAATTGATTTTTCCGTTACCAATGTTTTCAGTAATAAAACAAAATTTGTAATTTCTCATAAGGGTGAACGGTAAAAGCAAAAATTCTTTTTATATTAATTTCTTCTTTCTGGTTCTCTGCTGCTCTTTGAAAATTTAACTGCCTCATTATCTAATTATTATGTACTAGTATGACAAGTTTCATTGAATTCTGAACGGTAATTCTATAACTGAAGGTAATAGTGCCTTAAGCTTACACAGAAAAAAAATTTACTTGAATCAAGTAAATAATGATTTTGTCTAAGCTTTCCTTTAATCAATACTTCAGTCTAAATAAATTTCGAGGTATAATTTGTCAAAAAAGTCGACAAACTTTGCATTTATTCAGTTAGTCATTTATTAAGTAAGTCGTGTGGTAATTTAAATTAACTACATCAAGTTCCCGTATACGTTCGATGCTTCGACTCAGAATCTAAATGCTCGATTATATTTATTAGAACAGTATATTATGCATTATATAATTTACAATTATTGATTAAAATCAGAAGATGGAGGATCGGTGAAAACCGTCGATAAAACACTTTTACTTCGCAACGTTTTGACCCATCTTAAAGGATCTTAGCTTAATAACTATTTAAATAATTCACAATTGTTAAAATTAATACTCAGATACTCTACTATACATTGATATAACTGTATGTATAATATACGAGGAATTTCTTGCCGAATTGCCGAGTTTTTTACTAGACCCTTTTAATTTTGCCAACTTTTTTGATATAGTACGTATTAAAAGCAACCATATAACACAGTAATTTTTAATCTTTTACGCGAAATTGTTCTGAGTTATTGATTTTTAAAATTTTCAGGTGAAACATTTTTAATTAACGATTAGTAATAAATATTGATATTCATAAAAAATTGGGAATAATTTTTTTATCTTCAAATTTAGTTTCAGGAAAAAATATACAAAATTTATTCGAAGTAATTATTATTTAGTTATTTATGTTTAAAGTTAAAAATTTTAATTCTCAAAAAGTTTGACCCTTCCGATTAAAAAAAAAAACAATTTTCTCCGAGTTGTACTTCATATTACGTAACTTTTAAGTCAAAGCCATTAGACAGTATAAAATTTATTAAAATTAAAGATAAAGAGCTTAGAAGTAAAAGAGTACAAGTGGCAAGAATTATTTACTATAATAATTTGATAATTTATTTGAGCAAATAAAACGCAAAAAATTTTTTTTTAATATCTTAATGATTATTTTTCGAAAATTCATCACTGTTTAGCCAACTACATGCTAAATGCATGGAAACGAAGAATATTCTAGAGTGAAGTATAAATATTCATGATTCAAGAAGAAATTAACGATCAAAATTATCTGTAGGACAGAGCAAAAATATTCTCCTGGATCACGCATCAAAATTATTTGTTAGGACAACAAAAAAATATGCTGTAATAACAAATGAATTTACTTTCAATAACAAATCAACTAGTTTATTTAACAAGATCAACTAAGTTGCAATAACAAATGAGTTTTCACTGCTGTAAAGTTAATTTTGTCGTCTTTACAAAATCGCTTTGTTATTATAATAAATTTTTTTGTTGCAATAACAAAATAATTTTCTTATCAATAAAATTTGTGACTTGAACAAGCTAGCTATTCCGTTGCTTTAACAAATTGATTTGTTACTTCAACAAAATTATTTTTTTAAAATAATTGAAAGATTCGGTTACAATAACAAAATAATTTTGTTGAATGAACATATGAATTACTTATTATAACATATGTGTTTGTTAACACAACATATTATTTGTTATCCCTATATCTTATTTTTTGTTGCTCTAACAAAAAATTTTTTTGCGTGATATCAAGTAAATTTTTTTCTCATACAAAATCAAGCATTTAGAACTGCAAAATTACAATAGTAGTAAATACTAATTAAGAATATATATAAATTCCACTAAGGCAAATTCGGTATTGTGCAACAAAAAAAAATGAACATTATTTCGTTAAATCATAAATAAAAAGTCATAATATAGGAGATTAATTACTCTTAAAGAAAAACATTAAACTCTCGTGAACACATAGTCACTTTGAAAGTGGTCAGTGTAAAAATGTTGTCTTCATATACGAATCCCCATAGCCGAGGATGTCTAGACCTTCCTGGAAAGGAAGACGGCGTTAGTTCGACTCTCTGGCGTACCCGTCACGCCCAACGGACTTGACTCTCACGAGCCAGCGTCATGGTACATTTATTATATTTCCACGTTTAGTTCGCAACGTTAACGTTACGACGTGTGCGAGTAGGTAGGCCTATACAGTACTACTTAAACTTATATTTATACTTATACTATAACTAATATAGCAGACATGCATGCAAACTACATATAGCAGTTGATCGTGCGTTTTGCGTTTGGTTCTACACTAACACAGTCGCATCGTTCACGTCAATACGACTTTGACTTGAGAATTCACCTCGACTCTTTGAGTTAAGAATTCACATCATATATATTGGTCCAGTGTATATGAGAAACAACCAAACGCTGAGAGTTACTTCTCGCGCTGTGAATTGCGGGGTTATTTACGAGCTAACTATATATAAGTCTTTCACGCGACCGGTTATCGTTTCTTACCTTTCCGTCGTATTTTTAATGTTTCACTTTTTTAATGGATTGTTTTTTTAATCTTTTGAATTTACTTTTTATTACATTCATGTCTATTTGAATGAGTTTTGAAATGAATGGACATCTTCTCAACATCTCGTCCGATCAGACGAGAAGTAGAACAGAAGGACTGCAGATAGTATACTGACAGGGAGCAATCCTGCCACTTAAAACAAAATAAAAACTACTAAAAAGGTGGAAAAGGATTTTCTTAATTAATCCTCATTAATACAAAAAATGTTCCTTTTAATGTCATGAATTTCAAAGAATAAAATTTAAGGAGTACCTACTAGCAACCTGCATTAATCAAGTAACTGTCAATTACATATTATAAATAAAAGAACTTTGGCTTAATGATTTTTTGATACTATTAACCACAATATACATAGCTTAGGTACTTTTGAAAAAAAATTAAATAAATAGTAACGCTATGATAGGATCAATAATTACCAATAGTTTCGATTTTTAATTAATGGAAAATATAACGAAACAAACTATTAAAAAATATGCTCCAAAAACATGATATAAGAAATTTACTATCGCCAAAAAAGATGTAAAATCGTGAAAATGCTCGAATTATTTATTAATTCCCGTCAAAATTTTTTTGATGATAACGAATTTAATGAAACTGAAAAAAAAATTAACTTGAATCAAGTAAATAATTTCGAAGAACTTTATCTTCTTGATTTGAGTATAAACAGTAAAAAAATTTTGCGTCAATGCGTCAAAAAATTGTGTTAAAAATTTTTATATTAAATATTTAACACTTTTCTGTGTTAATTTAATACAATAAATGTTAAATTTACACATAAAAGTGTTAAATATTTAACACAAAATTTTTTGACGCAATGACGCAAAATTTTTTACTGTGTAAAAATCCTGAAACTAAAAAATTTTCTAGATTTAACTAAATTTTACTTGATTTAAGAATTTTTCTCTTGACTTGAGTTAATTTCTATTTTTGTGCATGTATGTACAGAATGAGATAAATAAATAATTTGAAATATTACACTTTATGCATAAAATTATGTTTGTTATTTAGAATGACTGTTTGAACCCCGGATAATTAAGAAACCTCTAGATACTATTAAGAAAAAAAATCTTGGTACCTTTGAATCTGACTTATCCAGGTTTCACTTGAAAACAAATAATCTTCCTTATAATTATCTATTCAGTCTAAAAATTTAATTTTCATCAAAACTCTATAATTCTTGTCGACATAATTTTTTGTTTAAATTAAAAAAATGTATACCAAAGCTAAAAATTTATTTTTTTTTCATCTGGAAATATATCGCTGAATTTTTTTGTGTGAAACTGACACCCTAAGATTAGAAAAAAACGATAATTCAAAGGTTACTAATAATTTTTTTTGCTCGACGGGCAGAAAGCGTCAAATTTCGGCCCGCTGCGCTAAACTGAGACATTTCTTACTTTACTTCCCTAGGTGTGTAATATACTATTTATTCTTATAATATCAAAATGTAAATTGTGACCTTTGGATGAAAAAAGTATACCTTGTAAAAAATGTAATTGATTTTCAGCGAGTGTAATTCTGATTCATAATAATCACCCAAAGATTATATATTATAAGCGCGTAATTATTTTCACTCATCATTCATATCTATTACGATTTTTTCTTTAAGTTCGATGAGTGATAATACATATATAAAAGTTTCAAAGTATAAATCAGGAAACTTTAAAGAAAAAAGTTTTATGATCCATATATATATATATTTTGATTATGCGCAAAAAAGGTCCTAACTCTTCTGAGGAATTATATTTTATTATTTTTTTGTCTATATACTTGTCACGAAATATCTGGAATCTATATATATCTGTCTCGATAATATTTTTAATTTACGATTTACAACACATTGAATTTCAGGTAGTACAGTAATAACTCTCAATAAAGTTACGTAAGTTGTATCTTTTTTTCATCCCGTGAACGACTGAAAGAACTTTAATATTACAGATAAAATTAATAATTTTTATCAATACAATGTCCGTATACGAACAATTAAAACTTTTAAGCAATCTTAAATTAATTCGATGTGTCCTTATTTATTTTATACGTAGTATGTATTGTAAGGTATATAGCATGAAAAAAAAATGAATTACCTGAAGAAATCATTCCGACAAAATAATTTGGATTCACGGGAAAAACACTTTTCCTGAAGCTCGGTTCCACAATCGAAGCATCTTACGCAGTCACCATGCCACGCTCGCTCCAAAACATTAAGAAAAAATTTGTCCATTATTGGTTTTTTGCACCCTGCACACGACAGGAGCATTGCCAAACCACACCTCCCTGTAAACATTAATTTTATATATTATTTGAGGTTGAAAAGTATATACTATTGTCTAATAAGGTGGAAATAAAAGCGACGAACATTGCTACACAGAAAAAAAAAAATTACTTGAATCAAGTAAATAATTTTAAAAAATTTCATCTTCTTGATTTGAGTAGAAAAATTCTTAATCAAGAAATTTTTCTTGACTTAAGTAAATCTTACTTGAATGAAAAATTTTTTGTCTTAATTCAAGATAATGAAACTCTTCAAAATCATTTTCTTGGTTCAAGAATTTTCAAATTAAATTTTTTTTCAATGTATGCTTAAAATTTTCTAATTACTTTCCGAATATTCGTTGTGCGATTTTTAAGTATGAATAATTTATACAAATATTTATTAATTGAAATTAATTATCTAAAATGATAGTAAAGTATTGGGAGTATAAATTTTCAAGTAAAACATAAAAGAAGACAATCTATACAAGTATTTGACTTTAACAAAAAAAAAATTAATTTTCAAATACATCCTGCCTTATTAAAAAATCAATTTATTAACATATTCATATGAATAAACACGTTGATCTACTGTTTGATGAGACACATGTCATCAATATATACTGTCTGTTTCTAACTCAAACATATCGCCTGTATCTCGTATCAAATCGATCAGTTTCATCAAACTGCAAAAGCTGTTTCTTAATCACATTTTTCTTCGTGTTGAGACATTTGCTTAATGTGTATATCAAAGAACATAAGTAGAAGAAGAAAAGGAGACAAAATAAGCTTCTACATTTTTTTTTTTTAACCAAACGATTCAATGAAGAAGGAGAAAAACAAAATTAATTTTCTTAGGTGGTCCATGCTTTGAAAAAAAATTTTAAAAATCGGAATTAAATGAAAATTACTATATTTACCCCGCAAAAATGTTATTTAATTGTGTAAGTTTTTGATGACATTCGATTAGTTAGCCTCTTATAGCACTTTTTATTTATGTCGTTTTTTGAAAACATTCTAATTCAATTAAAATTATTTGAACAAAATAATATGTATTTTTTTAATTAGATAAAAGTTTTTTGATTAATTAATTCAAATTAACTGAGTGTTCTATCCATTTTGACATTCAATTTCGTTTAATAGATAATTATTCGAGAATATGACTTATAAATAATAGCATAACATGAAGTATCTACGATTGATAATCGAAAATATTTTTAAGTTTCAATTGATATTTTTGTAAGACAAGATTTTTGTCAGAAGTAACTTTTAAAAAAACTATTTTTAAAATTCACTTATTTTCATTTTATTTTAATTCTAATATGCTAAAATTGAACAAAAATTCGTCAGCGTTAAATGTTACGTTTTCAAAACTAATAATGGTTACTACTTTTTTTATAACATATTCACCATAAAAAATTTTAGAACAAAAATTATAAAAACGTATGAAACTAATATAAAAAAAAAATTATCAAATTTTATATATTTTCCTTAACAAAATATAACTCAACATAAAGTCAAGTTATAGCTGGATACTCAGTAAAAAATATTGTGTTATATACCGTCAACACAAAATTAATGTTGAAATTCAACACACTTTTGTGTTAAAATGACACAAACTATGTGTTAAAATGACACAAGCTTTGTGTTGAAACAACACAAATTTAACACTAATTTTGTGTTGACGGTATTTAACACAGAAATTGTGTTGATTTTACACAATATTTTCTACTGTATGCCATTCTAATACGTCGTATCCCACAAAATTTGACAAATTGACTTTTTTTGAAAAATGGAATCATAACAATATTATGCAAGTCATATTAGAATTTTAAAGGTCAAAAAGTTAAATAAATATTTTCATCTGTCAAATCCCATGTAATCAATGTTATAAAAATGAATCATTTTTACCGTCTGCTGTAAAATTTTCTAAATGTGGGATATACGACGTATTAGAATGGCATTATCGAGCTATTAGTTTTTCTCTATTTCCATGCAATTTTGATAAATTTAAAGTTGCAATTTTTCCTCGGGGAACTTTCAAATTATTAAAATTATAAATTAGTCAAGTTGATGAAATTAATTTAAATATGATTAACCCTTTAATGTTCTGGAAGCGCAATGAATCTCAGTGTGAGCTGTTAGGGGAGAGAGCCAATCATAGTCCGTTATGCGGTTGTGTGAAAGACGGTTTAGTTGTAGTAGTTTGTCCATGCGTCCCTTTCAACTACTTTTCTGGCCCCCTCTCTAGGAAAAAGACTATAGCTCTCTCACTTGAAGAAAAAGACATATGACTCGAATTAAGAGTGGGGATTCAAGGCCGAACATTAAAGGGTTAAGAAACTGCGTCGAATGCTTTTTTGAAAATAAAAATCGAACGACGCTTTCAAAAGTTATAGTTGTTTAAAAATTCACAAAATTTTGTTTTTCGGTATTTTTTTAAGATAATTTTCAAATTTCTCAACCAATCAATATGAACCTGTGCATTTTCTTTTTTGTTTCAAAAACTGCGTCGAATGCTTTTTTTAAAAAGAAAATCGAACGGCGCATTCAAAAGTGATAACTGCTTAATAAGTACATTTTGAGCTCTTTGGGCTCAAAATGTGAAAAAACGGTGCTTTGAGCTTAAAAAGTTCAAATATTAACCAAAAAAAAAAATTTTAAGGCGCTTCAAATTCAAAATTAGCGGGAAGTTCTAGGGTTGGGCTGTGCGGTCGACCGATTTCCAGATTTTTTAAATAAAAATTACGGAAAAAATCATTTATTTTTTTTCCACTCGGCGCTTTATACAATTGCATTTTTAGATTTAGACTTGAAATTTAATTAGATTATTGTTTTGACGTACAGATTCCAAATTCCATAGAATTGCTATGTATTTTTTATCCATGTGATTATTCTAGCTAATATTCATTGTAACTTTCAATGTGCAATCATTATAATATTCTCTTGGCTCTCTTACAAAAATGAATAATAATTGATATGAAGAAAAAAAAATTTGAAATGAGCATTGAATGTTTCAGTTAAAGAAATTGCAGGTCTTATAAGTGAAGAAATCTACCTAGCTTCAAGTGCGACGAATTTTTCGGTTTATTAAAATTTTTTCAGTGACATAAATTTTTTATAAAAAATTAATTTTACACGTTTTTTACGAATTCTATTTAAAGATGAGCCGAATTTATTTTCTACATATCAAGTGTTTGAAAAATGCATTTATTTTAATTTGTTACATTCCCGCGATCTCGCAATAAGAACAATTAATCGCTTATGTGATTGAAGTTTGATTGAAGTTTAATAAAAATGTCCTAAATTTCATGTTTTAAGAAGTCCTACACGGAGAGAAAAGAATAGATCTTATTCCTATGTAGAATGGTAACCATTACTATGATACATGGTAACAGAAATTTTTTAAAGAATTCTGGGTAAATTTGCTGAAAAAAATCTTATAAATCGTGATAAAAATATGAACAATCGCTCATTCGCGGAATTAAATTCTGGAGATAATTTAATTGTTTTTTTATTTTTTTAATAAAAATTTCAATTTGTTATTAACAATAGAAACCTAAACATAATGAGAAAACTCAGTTTTTCGTAAATAACTCAATAAGTATAGGTGATATCAAAAATCGGAAAAAGATCCTTAAAAAGGAGGAAATTTCTGAAAAAGTCTTGACTTCTGGAACTCTAGCTTTAGAAACAATAATTTTTATTTAATGTTGAAAATAGGGTTCCATGCGACTGCTGTCGTATTTTGGCATCTGCGCGGCCGTGTGAAAAAAGTTTTAAAATCTATCAATCTGTAGGAACCGTTATTGAAGAATATGAATTTTTATACAATTAATAACCCCGCACTTCTATCTGGAGGAGAAATTTCGTAAGATCCTATTCGAGATGATTTTTACATTATAAATAATAGGTTCCTACTCAACTTCGAGTCCATAGAAACTACACTGAAAAAAAAAGTTTTCTGCTCCGCACTATACAGTATCGCTACTGTCAGTATCCACACGTTGCTGTCTAGAGGAGAGTGAGATTAGGAAAACTGTATACTAACGGTAGCAATGGTTTCGTGAACGGCACTGAATAGATTGTGACGGTCAATATCCAGACTGCTACTCGTAGCTGTACGGATTGTACACGGAAAAAAGAAAACTCGAAAAATGACAGTATAAAATGTAAAATCGGTCCCGTCGTAATCAAAACTAAAAAAATTACTGTTTGAAATAACATTTTTCTAAATTCAATTTTTTAATTTAATATTCAGAACTTTCAATGTAAATATTACATTCTACAATGTAATTCTTATAAAATCTATAATAATTACAATCTGTAATTTTTCGAGTTTTCTTTTTTCCGTGTATAGTTTAAAATATCAATTTACAGTTTAAAAATGTAAATCTAATAAAGTTTTTAACAATTAAATTTTAGAATTGTAATTTTTCCAATTTTTTGCTTGGAGCACCCAATTTCTATAAATTATATACTTTAAGCTACAAATTTTCGTAAGAAGTTGAAAAATTTATTTTGATTTTTGAGAAATTGATAAAATTCATCGAGGAAAAAACACTGATGATTAAATGTACGAGATACAAGAAATTTAGTAAAGAAAAGTAATATTAATGCACGGTGTGCATTGCAAATCATGTATACGGATTCATTTATAAGTTCACAAGTATTGAAAAAAGTTTATTTCTCAATAATTATAATATTATAATAAAAAATTTTAATCTAATTAATCAATTTTTTTATGCACTTGGAAAATTAAACAAATAATTGAAAAATAAAATTTTCTGAATTATTTTTGTGAAGTATAGTAACTATGGAAATAAATTGCTCTGATGGAAAAATTAACTTAATTTGAAAAAAAAATTTTTGATCCAAAAAAATCTTTTAAAAAATTAAATTTTCCATGTCAAACAAATAAGTTTTTGAATAAATTAAAATTTATTGAAATCAAATAAAATTTCTTTATTTAAGAGCTTTTTTGTTTTATTTAAAATAATAATATTTTTTTCCAAGATTTTTCTCTAGTGTTTTGTAAAAAATCGTCATATATCCTTTTTTATTTCTTCTAGTATTATTGTAGTATAAAACTGTTCATTTAAATAATTATAACACAACATTTTTTGAAAAAAAAATTTTGACAGAACATTTATATGTAAAATTTTGCATTTAAATATTTACTCCAAATCATATATTCGATGAATTTTTACCTCAGATAATGTATCTATAAATACCGCAAACTAGAATTAATTTATATCGTTAAAAATCTGTCACGCAAACGAACATAATAATACCCTTCATTATCTGATTAATCAAAAATGTAATTTATTTTAAACAGAATCATCTAAGTACTTTGATGAAAAGTCTATCCTGATGAATTTATTACTTCAAAAACTTATATAATATTAATCTACTTGCTTTGTGTCCTATAATATTATAAAATTTTTCAAATGAACATACAAGGTAAAAGACCTCATCAGTGGTACCTTTAACCCCTATTAGTGGCACTTTTTCTTCCTATGAAAAAATATTCTGTTTGGAATCAAAATTAAAAATCTTTTTGATCTAAAGGTCTTGAAAATTAGAAATAATATATTCATTATTGAAATTAATAATTTCATTAATTGAATAAGTATCAAAATCAAAGAAAGTGTCAGTAATATTAATGAGGTTTTTCACAAATTTTTACTCGCAAACGAATTTTAAGAACATAACATAACAAAAACATAAATTTTTCAAATTATAACATTATAAATCAAACGTGTAAATTTTTTAGACAAAAAATGGGAACACTCTGTAATTCTTATCAACTAACAAAGCATACTTGTACTCTTAAAATATGAATAAAGAAATTTTTAAAAGTCAAAAAGTGTCGGTAATGGGTCCCCGCCACTAATGGGGTCTTATACCCCTACTAATAAAAAATTCAACTTGATTCAAAAGAAAAAATCTTGAATCAAGAATACCATTTTGAAGAAAATAATTTTCTTGAGTAAAGAGAAAAAATTCTTGAATTGAGAATAATTTCTTGATTTAAGAATTTTTTATCTTCAAGATTATTTTTCTTGAATCAAGTTAAATTTTCTATCAGTGTACGAGAATCCTAATATTATATACAACCCACTATCTCCGCGAATATCATTGAGACTCGATTCGTACATGTAAACTAAAAAGTAAAAAGAATTTAAAAACAAAATAAGATAATTATTTAGCGAAGGAAAAAGTTGAACGAATGAAAGGGGAGTAAAATTGGCAGTAATTTGGGTATCTTACCAATATTATGGGCCTGGGTGAGAGCGAGGGGGGCACAACGGGAGCCTCCAAGAGTGGCTTCCCTTAATCGGGGGGTGCTGCTCGCGGTGACTCCAGGGGCACCTCCCCCGGCCCCAGCAACCCCGTACCCCTCCACCTCCCCAGCCGCGGCAGCGGCCACCCCCACCCCCACTCTCTCGGCGGTTAAGGGACCACTGATACGAGCACCTTCCACTAACCCGAACCTTTCAAACGGTCCCGAGGGCCCCAGCGCACCCACCTTTACTGCAGTTATATCCGACACGCGGTCCACTCACAATACACGGATCATGCACTACAGATTTTATTTATTTTTTTTTTTTGCAATTCAACTCCAACACCGTAACACTATGGACAATATAATAACAAAAATAATTTAACACTAAAACAATTCTTACTTATTTTTTTATTTCAATTTCACAAACACATTTTTATCTTTACAATATTTTTTTATTGTAAAAAAATTAATTAAAATTTTTGTACCACAAAAAAATGTTAGTACCTCCGAATTTTACGTTATATTCATTGAATGCTACAATTATCTCAATAATTCCAATTATTGTTGGAGTCATTGAATTTTAATGAACTTATATTTTTACATTTTTCAAAATTTTTTATCCTATTAAATTTTAAGTGTCTATCACCATCACATTACAATATTTTATATACATAATTATCCACATTTAATAGATATTGTCACGACTATTTTAACATTAAATTTCCACAACAAAGTCCGACGGACAATCAGCGGCATGTTTTATATCTTATTGATTGATATAAATTAAATAAAAATTTACAATAATACTTTCACAGTAATCCTTTTTTGTTTTGTTACAATTGATAGGTATTAATATTATCGGTTACTATACAACACAGGACTTAAAAGCCGATATTTTATTTACAAATAATGTGTGTTGTTATTAAATGAAACAGATAAACACGCGTTTGATGCCGGCGAATATCGTCAAGTAATTAGAGGGTTGAATAAACATAAGAATTGAGAATACACTCGCTTCGGAGTTCGCCAGCCAACTGGCCGCACCTGCGACTGAGAACCCCACCTCGATATATGATGGGCTGAAAAGCTGCGGATTCAGTCACGCCCACAACACAATCAGTATTCCATAGTGAGTGTTGGCTATTGGTTGAAAAGCCCGTAAAAAGGCGGATTTATCCCCCCCCCCAACATTATTCCGCATGGCCTTTAGAATGGCTGCTGAACGAATGCTGAGGAAACATAAACCTCTGAGAGGGAGAAATGCTGGGGATGGACCAGCTTCCGTCCGCGACAGTAGCAAAGGATGGTGGCGGCTGCCGATGGTGCCGCCTCGTGACTGGTTAACTATCGATCCTTTGAGCTAAGTCAGTTTAAACACTCAGCACCATCAAAATGCTACAGGTTACTACGTCACACTTTTAAGAGAGAATTTATCCTGAATATTTTACATGCATCTTCATTCTTTCATTCATTTGGTTATTTCTTATTTTTTTTTTTTAGTTTTCACATTTATTTATTTATTACTATTGTTATTTTCTTTCATTTCTTCTAGGTGACAGCCGCTGACTGTTTAGACGTGTTCCACTTTGCTGAAGGATTTACAATTATGCATACAATTCACATTGCTAATAGTGTTTTTAATAAATAACGGTTGTGAAATATCTCTTTTTTACTACTTTTGTTTTTTATTATATAATAAAAAATTATTTATTTATATTTAACAAAAATAATCTTATGCATATTATGAAAATTAAGTTAGCCGACATCTAAAAACTTTTAGAAATTTTTTTCATTGAAAAATTATTATTACAAAAAAAAGAAAATAAAAAATTTCACTTAATTGTAAAAAACTTGAAAAACTATCAGTGCAATTTTTTAAAAATATTTTTTAGTTTTCATTTAATAAATAAAAAATTTTAAATGTCGGCTAACTTTAGTATTATATGCATATTACAGGCTCTCATAGACAACATCACTTACTGAAATGAAAACCACATAATTTTACAGTGAAAATATCTAAATCGTGTACAGATGACCGATGCGAAATTTTTCACGGTTAAAAAAAACTCTAATATAAGTTTTAATGTGAAAAAAAAATAAAAATGTTTACCACACCTGACTTCTTGGAAGACTTTGTAGTTATTATCCATCATTGCTTTGTGGTCAGCATTAGCCACAAAACCAATGCCTGCGTGTACGCATATACTTCAAAGTAGCATAATTTTATGCATATTTGATGATTACATCTAATTATTCCAATGCTGGTATTTTGGTTGACTTTCTCTTTTTAATATGAAATTATTTTTTTGATAATATTTTTTAACAGTTATATCAAAATTCAAAGATAACCTGTAACATAAAAGCTTTTACATTAATTCAAAATTTTAACAAAAAAATATTTTCATGTTTACATACCTCAAAAAATATCTAATTCGATTCAATCAAAGCTTTAATTTAAAGTTTGAATTTTGTCTGATTGTGATTCAACGTAGTAGAAAAATGGTTACAGGTCAGCCAGTAGACATAGTTCGCAATTAGTCAGACATTACCACTTGCGCACCAATTAACATCGCAGTTGTAGAAAAAATTAATTAAGTTATTACTATCAATGATTTAAAAAAAATAATTACCTTTTATTATTATAATTATAATCCCAAAAGTATGAACTGAAAAAAAAAAAAAAATTTATACAATGATATTTAAAAAATAGTAATTGAACAATTAAAAAAATTTACCATACTCCGCTAATCTGTAATTTCAGAACAAGTAAAAAAGAGATACAGGCAGATAATACACACTCACAAGCAGCTCACAGCTTTCAAAGGCATCTATGGCGCCACACGGTGAATGTTTTAAAAAGCAGATAAATAAACCTGAGTCTTGAAAATAATATACTTACCGACAAATTTATATAAATTTTACGATTTTAATTATTAAAATATTGACTTTTCATTTCAGATTAATAATTTTATTTTTCAATGGTCACATCATATCTTACGGAATAATTTTGATGATTTTTAATAAATTAGCCGACATATAAACAATCTTATAATTTTTTTTATTAAAAAAATTAGTACAAAAAAATGAGAAAATAAATTTTATTTGTAAAAAACTTAAAAAACTATAAGTGCAATTTTAAAAAAATATTTTTTTGTTCCAATTTAATAAATGAAAAAAAAATTAGAAACGTCTGCTAACTTTAGTATTATCAATTTTTAATAATAAACTAGGTCTAAAAAATTATTTAACTAGGTCTAGAAATTTATTTTTAAAAAATTTATAACTTTTTAGAGCTTCTAAAAATGGAATTTTAAAAATAAATTTTTCTTGCTATAATTTATTAGTTAAAACATTTCTAAAAATAATCAGATGTCTCTTAATTTCAGCATAATTAATAATGAGTAGAGCATGGAAGTTTGCCTATTTTCATTTGTTACTTAATAATGAGTAAATATGAACATTCGTAATAAAATATACATTTTATTCAATAAAATTGACATAATATGCAATATAAACTATTTTAGTTATAACGAAATAACATTTACGCCGGAATGTCCAATTTTTTTAATACTATTAACTTGAATTTGAACTACACTTTCGTATTGTCTTGAAATTTTAATGTAACAAGTTATTGACTATTTATTTTCTATTTCTTTGAGTGGGTGGTAACCAGTCCACTGTCTATATGTTGAGTCCATAGTTCTTTCAACTCCATCATCAATAGGATGAATTATTAGTGGAATAGAAATGAGTCCAACAATAGTTGACATCCAAGGATTCCTCATTATTGGACTTTTAGCATTTCTTTGCATAAAACGAACCCCTGCACAAATTCTGTTGATAACCAAACCAGGAATTATCACTGATGCAAAGCTCTGCCATATTAACGTATCAGATGCAGAAAGAAAAATCCGTTTATTTTTATTTTCCGCTCCATTTTTCTATCGTTCAAATAATTTATTAATAAAATAAAATTAGGTATCTATGAATTTTTTTTTAAGTTTTGCACACTTACTCCATATTCTTTGATCCCTTTATGAGCTGTATCAGCAACAACATAACCACTGGCAATAACATAGCTTATCCAGACAATAGATTTAGGAACAATACTTCTAAAAGCTTCGCCGACTTCATTCGTATAACCTGAAATTTATAAAAAATTAAACAAACAATTTTTAATAACATTAGAACAAGTTAGCAGTCGCGTGACAATTTTTTAAATTTCTTTAATAAATAAATTTGCTCCCAAGAATCATTTCTAAAAATTTTCTAAATGTCAATTTTTTTTTTCTCATTTTTTTGACATAATTTATTCGTTAAAAAAATTCTTAAAATTACAAAATATCTGCTAAATTAATTTTCATAATTTTTATTATTATTATCCACTTGTTTATAAAAATTTAACTCACCTAAATATCTCAAAGAAGTGTCACGAAAAATGTCAACTTCAGTGCTATCATCCTCTACCTTCATTTTGTAATTGTATTTATCCAGTTTATAAATAAATTTGTGCGGAATTAATTTTATCACAGTTGTGTGCAAGTTAACAACAATTCGTAAGCTCGGATATATAAATGTTATTGATTACAATTGCCGCCATTTTTCATAACATATGTTCATGACACTGAAGTTGACTGACATTAACAATTTTTTTAGAATTTTATAGCAATTAAATTATTAAAAAAAAAAAAATTTAATTAAAAAATTCCACATATGAAAATTAATAAAAATTGTAAGTCAAAATTTTTAGAAGCATTTTTTTATTGTAATTGATTTGTTATTAAAATTTTTAAAATTGACAGCTGACAGCTAACTTCAGTATCATATATGATCACACAAGCTGCGTTTTCATGTAGGGAAAAAATTAAAGCGGCAGTTTAAAAAATATAAAAATTAATTATTTAGCAGATATTGATAATTTAAAAAATTTTTGTAACTAATAAATTATGACCCAAAAAAATTGACATGTAAAAATTGAAAAAAAAATTAAAAATGCAATTTTTTTAAAATAAATTTTCGGAACAAATTTTTTTGATGTCATTTAAAAAATATAGAGGGGGGGTTTTGTTTATTTTCATAAAAATTACCCTGAAGATTAGTAATCCACAAGGTTAACTTACATTGTACACTTGCCGTAAAGCTTCGTAAAACGTAGAAGCATCTGATCAGCATCAGAACATCAGAAGTGAAAACACTGGAGAACACTATATAGCAGGAGGATCAGTGGTAATCAGGTGATAAAATAAATTATTTACAAAGAAATAAATAAAAGTAATAAGTAAAAAATTACTAGTGTTGTATTGAGTTAATATTTTTATTTGACAATTTATTATTTAACATTTAATTAATGTAATAATTTAACACACAGATACAGAGAGCGATTGATGTGACTATTGGCGGCAAAATTTTGAGTATAAATTAACGGCATGGTAAATTACGTATAAAAACGTAATAATATAAAAAAAAAACGTGTGCTGATAGCCTGTAACCTGTTTTATGAATTCGGCTGTGTTTATTGTGCAAAAATTATTCTTCAGTATGCTTCATAAAAGTCCACGACCATTAGTATTGTGTGGTCCATCAGGATCTGGGAAGAGTACACTCATTAAAAAATTGTTTGATGAATTTCCTGATAAATTTGGTTTTTCAGTTTCACATACAACCAGACAACCAAGACCCGGCGAAGAAGATGGAAAGCATTATCATTTTATTAGTAAAACTAAAATGGAAGATGATATAAGTAAAGGTGAATTTATTGAAACCGCTGTGTTTAGTAACAATTTATATGGCACGAGCAAAAAAGCTGTTGAAACAGTTATTAACAGCGGAAAGATATGTGTTTTGGATATTGAAATGCAAGGTGTTAAACAAATAAAAAACACTTCTCTCAATCCTTTGCTTATTTTCATCAAACCACCCTCTGTTGAAGAATTGGAGCGACGATTGAGAGCTAGAAAAACAGAGACAGAAGAATCATTACAACGTCGGTTGAATACTTCTATTGAAGAAATTAAATTTGGTGATGAACCAGGTAATTTTCACCGAGTAATCGTCAATGATGATGTTGAAAAAGCTTATCGTGAATTACGCGAATTTATTTTGCAAGAATTGAAGTAATTCAATGCGACTGGTGATAAATTTTTTTTTACTTGATATTTATTTTCCGCTTTTTATAAAAGAATAAATTTAATATTTAATTTACAAGGTCAACTAGTTAATTGTACAATGAAACAACTCACCGAAACTTTTAAGTATTTATTTACATACCTTTTATTTTATATTCAAGTATTTAGAAAATAGGAAATAATATTCACATTTATTAGTTGTATTTTATTATAATTTTTATAGAAATTCAATTTTTATAGCGACTAATATTAATTTATAATCATGTTTACTTAGTTAAAACTGCTCCAATTAATTTGCTAATATTTTTTACTTGAAATTAATAAAAACTGAGACTATTTACCGAATAAAATTGTGTTCTGATAACATGTAATTTGTTACGATGAATATTTTTCAATAGACATAATAAGAAATTTTAGATTATAAAAAAAAAAACATCACTGCATATTTCCATTTTTATCAAAACGTTCATTACTTTTTTTATGTTGTAGTCGTCGAAGTTATCATAAAGTAAATAAAATTACGAGATATGAAAATTAGTAGCAGTACATTTTTCCTCGGTGATATTACACCAGTAAAGGAAAATAATAAATGTTGCGGGTAATTAGTTCTGTATATTAAATCACAACATAAAATGCAGTCGTAAAATTATTAAGATAATAAGTTAATTTAGCAATGCAAGCTTATCGTGTAAGATTATCACTAGAAATTATTCATATCTTAACATTAATCGATGTACTTCATTAGAGATTCAAATGAAGCAATTGTAAAGTTATATTTATCAATCAAATTAATTACTTAAAATCAAATAGTGATATATATATATATATATATATATATATATATAAATTTACATTAAATAGTTCCAAGTATCATTTTTTTTTATGTAAAATTAATTACAAAGTAACTGTACATGCTAGTTCAATTATTGTTAGCTATTATATTATATATTTATAAATCAAAGCTCCAAATGTAATAATATTGTTCAAAAAACATATTACTGTTAAAATGACAATGAAATTATAAAAGTATTTTCAACGAATCTAAATTACTATGAATAAATTCAAAAAACAATCATTCAATATATAAAATGTTATACCATAAATAATTTATAAAAATTAATATCACATGGTAAATTTTTATTTAAATCAATGTATCATAAATTTCATTTATAATTTGTAAATTTTAACCTTGTATTAAGGTTAAAAAAAATTATATCTGTTTAATAGGATTAAACGTAATCACGAATCATTGTAATTCTTTGGCTTGTCAATAAAAATAAATTTTTAAATTATTTTCTCGATGTATAAACTTAAAAAAAAATTATTTTTATTCTTAAAAGAATTTTCTATAAACTTTTACATTATATTTAAATTAAGTATACTGAAATAAGATTTTTTTAGATAGTCGTTATTTTTTAAAAAAAGTAAATAAGTATCTTTTGTTTAAAGAAAAATAATCCAATCTTTTTTTTTCTTCGTTGTTGTCTTTTTTATAGAATAATTTGCATTTATTTTTTCAAAATTTACAATTTAGTTATTTTTAATTTTCATTCAAATCTTTGGAAAATTTTTAATATACGACTTAATTAAAAGATCAGAAAGACTAATAGTCGGATAATTATAAATAAATAACTATTATTATCTGTTGTTTACTTTTTCACGATATAAATAACCGATAATTGTCTTGCTAAATCAGATAACTTTGTATCAACAACAAAGTTGTTTAAAACTACAGTAAAAATATCACAATGTTTTATTAGGATCTGATTCACTCGTAAAAGAATTTACGTAACTCATTCTGGGAGTTTATTTTGATCATAACAAAAAATTTCAATCCCTTCAACTGATGTTGATGCATCACTATTTTCAGCGGGGAAGCTCTTGTTTCTCTTTATTTTCAATTCATCGTCAACAACACTGAAATTCACGATAATCCACTATAAATTTTCTACGTTTGATTTATATAAATAATTAATTGCGTCTATAAATAACATATATCTTATTTCTTAAACTCTTAACCGATAGATTCTTTTGATGATTTATTTGTTATTAAAAAATTGCTCATATTTTTTTTTTTTAAATTATACTATTTAATATTTTATTATAAATTATAATTCAAAAAATTTATATACTAACCTTCCTTTGAAATATATTTGAATTTATCAATAACTTTATAGATAATGAACCAAACTTCCAAGTACTAAGCGGAGATAATTATTTGTAAGGTTTGAGTGTAAGTATAAAATTAAAACAATAAGGTATAATGTATTAATTATTCACAAAATTTTTTTATTTAATAAAAATGATTGATTGATGAGTAATACATGATTGAAAAATACTCTTTAAATATTCACTACATGATTTGAAATATAAAAATTAAGTAACGCTAAAAAATGCTAAACTGAAAGTCATATTTGGTTTTTTATTAATGCTTATAAAAGATATTTTCGATAATGATACAGTACGTGAAACAAAGAATAATTAAATGGTTCATTGCAAGTAGAACTTGACAATATAATGGAGAATTATAATTATTACAAATTGAATTAGATATTTTGTCGGAGAATCGACACAAATTTTATAAGAAATAATCTGCTTGCGGCTTTTTACTAGGTATACCTCGACTTTCTTGTGGTGCAGCTTCAAATATTGTAAAGTCTCGTTGCAAATGTTCATTTAGTTCTAAAATAGCAGCGACATTACCACATCTGTAACAAAAATCATTTTTAAAATTAAGTAACATGTGTGATGATAAACATGGATAAAATATACTAGCAACCTTGCAGTCACTATGTGACTTGTGAACTATAAATAAATTAAATTTTGCTTTAATAAATAATGACTTTTGTTAAATTGCACTTAACTTTTTTTACAATTAACGTTTTTAAAGATATAAGCTCATCCTGATGTTACAATCATCAAGAGCTTTCATTTGATTACCCACTTGCATTTTTTATATATTTTTCATATATACATATATGCAATATATATAAATATATAAAATATATGAAAAAATGATGTGGGTACTCAAATGAAAGGTCTTGATGAGTGTAACATCGGGATAAGCTTATATTTTTAAAAATGTCCATAGTTCACAAGATACAAGGTCATTTCTTAATTATGTAATATATATATATATAATACATATTTTAAAGATGTAAGCTCATCCTGATGTTACACTAATCAAGAGCTTTCATTTGAGTACCCACATGGATTTTGATATATTTTTCATGTATACATATATATAATATATATATAAATATATAAAATAGATGAAAAATTGATGTGGGTACTCAAATGAAAGGTCTCGATGATTGTAACATCGGGATAAGCTTATATCTTTGAAAATGTCCATAGTTGACAAGATACAAGGTCATTTCTTAATTATGTATCTAGAGATAGAGCACTTTTGAATGCAGCCTAAATACTTATCATCGTAGATTGATTATTGCGATGAGAATAATATGAAACTATGAAAAGGCACAACTTCAGGTCAAGACTTTTCCAACGATACCAAATTTAACCATAAAAACCCATTTTATCATATAAAAACACTGGCCACAAAATTTTGCTTATTTTCTTAATAATATAGATAATAATGATAAAAAATTTACCGATAACAGTAGTTTGGAGCAGACCATACAGTGAGGACTGTCTCATTAAAATGCCATTTGTAACCTTCCATAACCAACTGATGAGCTCTACATATCATATCAATATCATTCGCAGAATTGAATTGTGCTACAACATCACTACCGAATAAATAACCTGCCCCTCTGGGTGAAACTCCCCATCCTTGAGTATCTTCGGGATCAGACCATAACAAATCACACATGGGTCCATCATGAGGAACCTTAAATAATTATCAGAATGTTAAATTATAAAATTGTAAATTTAATTTTACTCGATTTCTGAAAAAACATAAGTTGTTTTAAGATTTAAGTTAAGAGAATCACAGTCATAAAGCTACTTCGATGTAATTATGAAATACAAGTATTTTAAAATTTAAATATAAAAAAATTTGTACGTATTTAAAGTAGCAATCGGTTATTTTCAAATAATTAGTTCAGAACTGATGGAAACTTTAATTTCATTTCATTAATGAGCTAATCAATATTTGTGCGTCCTTCTGTTATATTTGTTTAGTAAATTAAACAGACCTTCATGCTTTGCTCTTAGTAACATTGTGAGTCACGCATGTTGTCTTTGTAAAAAATCAATAAAATAATAAATCTTTGTAAAAAATAAAATAAATAAATATAATTAAAGGCATTGATTCTCTTAAATCTCTGAAAAATAAAATAAAGATATTTACTTCTTGCTTTCGATCTATAGTTCGTATTTGATCCAAAGTTTGAATGCTCGGAGAAAGGCCACCGTGTACGCAGAATATTCTTCCATCAATAATTGCAGATAAAGATAAGTAATCAAAAATTTCAGTGCAATACCGCCACACTGTAATACTACCGTATTTACGAAGACATTCATCATAAAATCCGTATACTTGTGTAATTTGTCGTGATTCATGATTACCACGGATTAATGTAATTCGATCCGGATAACGTACCTGCAATTGAGTAGAAAATAATATTTAATTTTATGGATGTTAAAAATAACTAAATGTAAAATTAAATAATTTTTCATATCAGTTGCAATAAAATTTTAAATTTCAACAACTGTTGAGCCAGTTAATAAAACGAGACAATTTTAGACCAATGCGATCGACTGGCTCCAGACATTAAAACTCTAATAATTTCCAATACATTGATAAGAAAAATATAGTGTGTAGCACGAGATGAAACACGATTTCAGATGAAGATGCTCATCCCTGTTTAAAATCGTCTTGATTCATCCCTTGCCACGCAGTATTATATTATTCTTTGAAACTCACTTTTAACGCCAGAAGTAAAAGGAATGTTTCAACACTGTAAAATCCTCGATCAACAAAATCACCCATAAATAAATAATTTGTTTCTGGCACGTCACCTCCAACTTTGAAAAGCTCTTTTAAATCATAAAACTGGCCGTGAATATCGCCGCATACCTATAAAAAAAATTCATATTTGAACTATACAAATAAAAAATATTCATACACAAAGTTCAGTGACATTGAAACTTTGAATATTTTAATGACTTGATACGATAAAATTTTAATAAAACAAATTATTACCAACTCCGATATTCATCAAGATTTGACGTCTTAATTATAGAAATAATTGTGAAGGACATTTAGATAATAAAACAAAAATTAAGTATTTCTCAGAAGAGTATTAATTTATTATCAGTCATAGTACTATATGACTTCTTAGATATGAAAATAAAATTAGCAGGCAGCTGACAATGTTTAGAATTTTTTTTATTAATAAAATTAATGCAAAAAAATTATAAGAAAAAATTGAACATGTAAAAAATTTGAAAAACTACACATGCAATTTTTTTAAAATATTTTTTTATTGCTAATTCAATTAATAAAAATTTTTGGCTGTCGGCTAATTTAAGTTTGATTTCTTAGATTTATGTTTAAATACTTAGTAAGTTTACTATGATACTTACGGTAACAGGTGAATCGATTCGTTGAACATTACTTTCTTCTATGAGAATTTCCCGTGCTTTAGCACATAATGCTTTTACTTCAGCTTCTTTAATTATTTCACATTTTTTTAATTGCTCTATTTGTCGATCTAAATCACTTGGATCAGCCATCGCAGTCACTTTATCTGAAAGCATAAATACGTTTTTTTTTATTAATTTTTTTATGAAATTTCCGGTACTATGGTTGTTTTCTGTATAACTTAAATATAATTTAATGTCTACTGTACGTTTATGACTTTTGATTTAATAACTTAATCCCTTGATACTCTTGATAATTAAGCTAACAAAAAAAAAAATTACATTCATACAATCAAATTATTGACAGATAAACATTTTGAGATTCTTAAAGTTAAATATTTAAAATTCATAAATGTAAGTAGCTATTACTTTAGTTAATAATTGACCAATTTGAATAAACAACAAAATTAGCCTTACCAACTTTTATCACCATTGAAAAATCAAAAGTTAAACTCTAAACTATTGAAGTATACTCCAATGGATATAAATAAAATATTTAAAAATTTTTAAATAAACTGTTGAACAATTTAATAAAAATGAAAAATATAGTTTATAATAATTAATACTACAAGCTGACTTTGGAGCAATTGAGCCGTATTTATATGATTTTATTTATCCTACACTTTTTAACCTAAAATACAATTTCCTCAAATCGTGTCAATAATTTGTTTTGTCATCAAACAAAATATTACGATAAACAATTTATTTTTAAGCATCTTGCTTATATATTTAAATATGTCATTTTACTCTCAAGAGTAACTCATACTTAACCTAAGATAATTTGATTCAATTTTATTGATAAGAAAACAATAATTAACAAAATATCTTATAAGATTAAAACTTTTTAATGCAACTGTGGTTATAAATAATAACTATTAGGTGCAATTAATTTTTATAAAATTAAAAAATTTTTCGGAGCGCACAAGCATAAGTAATTTGCCAATATGATAACATTTAGAAATAAAATTATACAAGTTATGAATCTAAAAAATAAAAAATTTTTTTGTTATTAAACAATAAATAAATAAATAATAAATTATAAAAAATATAACAATGTTAATATACTGTACCTGATAAACAGTCGCTTCGGAGTCACTAAAATAAAGTTAAGTCTTGTTAAGGAGATAAAATAAGGATGCTCAAAATTTTTTACACTACGAAAAAATGTTATTTACTCGAGGATATGGCAACATTTAGATGGATATTATTGATAAAATTTCGATAATTTCAGCAATAAAATGATCTAAACTAATAAACTAACTATGTGCCAACCTCAAAATTTCAGGAGCATACATACGCTTACATACAATATGACTAATGGAATATCAAGGTTCTAACGCAATAAAAATGCGGGAATTAGAATTAAGGGGATGTACACATGAAATCAAATTTAATTCAAGTTCAAGATTGGTTGAAATTTACACCTAAGCTAAGGATCTGTTTGTTTTTTCAACCAATAACATTTTATTATTTTTTAAAGCTATCATTTTTTGCGGATTAAAAAACTGCAAATAATTATTTTTCACTAAAATACTTTTGTAATTTATATATCAAATGAAATATAAATTTTTTGACTGGTTAAATTATAAATCAATTAATATTGATAAATTTATGGTTAATAAAAAAATGATTAAATAACAAAAACTTTTTAATTTAATTAAAAAAAAAAAAAAACAAATTATCGATTTTATTTTAATTATTTATTATATATAATATTCTTGAAAACGATTGCAGGCTTAAGGATTAATTTTAGGATGAAGTACATTCCAAATATCTGAACCAGTTTTCCACGGAATAACTTTGGCTTTGACTTTATTTTTTGTATCTGGTTCATTCAATAATTTTATAATTGGATAATCTTGTCTAGGAAATGCAAAATCTTTGTCAGATAATCTTAACATTGGACATAAATCATTTTTGCCATCTCCAGCGTATGCAATTTTTTCAAAAGTTACTCCATGTTCTTTTCGTTTTTTAATGTATTCCTCTAATATGTATCCTTTGCATAAATTTTTCTCACTGAGCGTACACCAATTTTGCTCGTGATAGGGTTCAATATTTAACAAGTCCTTGTCATCAAACCAAGCAGGATTTGTGAATATTTCGTTAACAGTATGATTCAATTGTTTATAACTTAACCAGTTCTCTATAAATACAGAGTTTGAATCACTAACAATAATTACTTCACAATTATTGGAATGCAAATTTTTCAAAAGTTCTTCAAATTCTTGCACAGAAGGAATACTATTTATGGCACCATTTATTTCTTTTTGAGTTATTTTATTGCTATGTAATAATTCGAAAATATTTCTCATAAAAATTGTCCAGCTATCGCAAGATTTATACAATTTTTTCACGGTCTCTGTGCATTCTTTAGGAAGTAAGTCCCGAATAACAATGTCACTGTTTTTATCAATGATTGTATGATCAAAATCAAAACTCATTAAAATAGGTTTTGCCATCTGAAAATTTTGAAATTTTTCATTAGTATTAATATTTTCATTATTACTCTTAGTTATTATTTAAATTCATTCTTTACAGCTTAGAATTATTAAAAAAAATATGATACTAAAGTTAGCAGTGCAGTCACTTGACTATTTTTTAATTTTTTTTAACCAAACAAATTTCTTCCAAAAGATTATTAAAAAAAAAATTGCATTTTTAATTTTTTAGAATTTCTTCGCGTCAATTTGGGTGGGGAGATCTTTATCAGAAATCTTTATTTTAAAAAACTCTCAGTATAAAACTCGACAATGAAAAAAAATCAATTTAAAAAATCCTTCATTTGAAAATCTCTCAGGAAACAATTAATTACAATGAAACTTCTCTATATAGTAAAACTCTCAAGCGATGCATATCTCAGAAATAAAAGCTCGATAGTTTGCTAAACTCATGTGTATTCTTTTTTTATTAAAATAATCAAAAATATAAAGTTTTTTAGGATCTCAAAATGTGATCGTCCGATGAAAACTAGATTTAAAAAAATATTCTATAAATGTTATAATTATTAATAACTAGAACTTCATATTTTTGATTATTTTAATAAAAAAAAAAAATACACATGAATTTAACAAATTATCGAGTCAATTTTTTTTTATAATGTTTTTTGCAATAATTTATTTATTAAAAAAATTCTAAAAATTATTAAATATCTACTAAATTAATTTTCATAAAAAAATCATCATTTTTTATACTATTTTGAATATCATATAAAAATACCTTGTATTGTCAAACCAAAATATTGATAAATTTTTTTTTCATAAAATTTATATACTATCTTCTACTGCTACTCACACCATCAATTTCTATTTTATCTAAAATAAAAAATAATGACAATTATAAAAAATTGACTTACTGAAATTTAAAAATAATTTTTTTTTACCTTAATAACTTTTTTCCAACTTATTTTTTTCAAGAACAAATTTCCTGTTGATATGTGGCAATTTTGGCTTTTAAAATTCCTTTGTTAATTTATCTGTAGTAGAAATTTCAAGCAATTTATATACCATAAAATTGCTGTACGAAGTATAGTAATAAATTATTATAATTTCTAAATACAGCAAATAAAGTAGTTTTGCATGCTTTGAAAAGTGTCAAGAGTTGTTTATATTATATATATACATATGATATATCTATATTTATTGACATGTTGTATACCTTATTATAAATGCCGGCTATATATATATAACCTTTTACGCCTGTACTACGCATATCTACAATAATTGTCACTATTTATAAGACAGTGTTATTGGAATCATTTGGTTTGTTTAATGAGATTTTATAACTTAACTCTAACTAATATTACTTTTATCTCGATTATATGTAATTTTCACAGCTAGTAATAACTTGCGTAAATAACCAAGTATTTTAATTGTCATATGAAAATAATTCTTTGCGCATCGTTAAATCAAATTTTATTCTTCAAGTACCAGTAAGAAACAAAAATAATTTTTATAAATATTACTACTACGTGCACAGTTGGACACAATAATATTTTTAAGCAATAAAGTGTATAGTTAATAAAATATACTCTTTATCAAATTTTTCAGACAAATATGGAAAATATTTTGACAGATTCAAGTACTACGGATTCTCAACAGAATCCCATCGTTTTTCTCGACATAGCAATAGATAATGAAAAAAGTAATTATCTCAATATTTATGCTATACGATATTTATTATAACTACTAATGATGTGATTAATTTTTTATTACAGTTGGAAGAATAATTATCGAATTATTTAAACATATTACACCGCGTACTGCAGAAAATTTTCGCGCACTCTGTACTGGAGAAAAAGGTATTGGAATTAATGGTAAAAAATTATGTTACAAAGGATCCGTTTTTCATAAAAGTACGTAAACATTTTTTTATTATTCATAGAGTTGCTTAGACAGATAAATAGTTTTTTTTTTTTTATTTCAGTTGTACCACAATTTATGATCCAAGGGGGTGATATCATAAACTTTGATGGAACTGGTGGTGAAAGCATTTACGGAGCACATTTTGAAGATGAAAATTTTAAAGTTCAACATTCTGAGAAAGGTCTTCTTAGCACAGTCAATGAAGGAAAACCACATACAAATAATTCACAGTTTATTATAACGACTGAAACTAGTGGTCATTTAAATAATACCAATGTTGTATTTGGTAAAATTTTGAGAGGAATGGGTATTGTACAAGAAATAAGTGAAGGTCCTATTGTCAAAGACAAACCACTACAGGTAGTTTAAAACCGTTTAAAAAAATTGAACGTTTAATTTTTGTTTTTTAATAGCTTAAATGTTTAGATATCTAAAATTATTGACTGTGGTGAAATAAAAGGAGAAAACTGGGGTATTGAAGAAAATGATGGGACTGTAGATGTATTTCCACCGTTTCCAGAAGATTGGGATTATGCTTCAAAAATAGACGCATCAAATATTGACGTAAGTATTGAAGTAAATTTACGAAATATTTTTTTTTATTTTTAAATACAACAAATTACTGTTTTTTTTCTTTTCTTTACAGTATAATTACGTACACGATGTAATTAATAAAATCAAAACATCTGGTAACCATTATTATGGTAAAAAAAATTATACTACAGCAGAAAGAAAGTACAAAAAAGCTCTTGGATATTATAACTGGCTTACTAAGAATAATATTCCAGAAGAACTAAAATTAATTTTATCCAGTATACGTATATCAATAATGTTGAATCAATCTGCTACGAAATTAAAACTGCTAAAATATCGTGAAGCTTTAGACCTTTGTAATTTTGTAAGTTTTTTTTTTTTGTAATTTTTTATTACACTGAAGTTAGCAAACGTCTAAAAATTTTTGATTTTTTTTTTTTTTTAATTAAATTACAACTAAAAAGATTTTTATAAAAAATTGCAGTTATAGTTTTTCAAGTTTTTAACATGTGATATTTTTTTTTTAATTGTTTAATTGAAATTTTTTCGATAAAAAATTCATAAAAATTTTGAATTGTCAGCTAACTTCATTTTCATAATTTTTTATTTATGATTATTGTTGTGTTAATTATGTAATTAATGATAACTTGTCTTAGGTATTGTCTGAGGATAAAACGAATACTAAAGCTCTTTTTCGACGTAGTCAGGCATATATTGGTTTGAATGATTACGAAACTGGTCTAGCTGACTTGAAACAATTACAATGTATTGATCCTGATAATCCTGAAATTTCACGTGAAATTGATAAAGTCAATAAATCTATCACATCATATTTAAATCATGAAAAGCAGACGTTTAAACGTATGTTTCGATAAAAAAAAAAAAAATTTCATTTTATACTTAAGAATGAATTCAGGGACAACATACCGGTACAATATTTTATAAATATTTAACAAATCAAAAGAAAAACTATATCATTTTTAAGAAGATTTTAAAGATAATTTTTTCCACTATGAGAAACTTTTTATACCTTTTGAGAAGTTGAATTGTTAGTTTTTCAACTAGATTATTTGAAAAATCAAATAAACCTTTGATGCTATGTGCAAGCAATTATTTAGAAATTAATCTTGTTAATGGAGATTATTTTAATTAGAAAAAATAACAAAAATTGCTTTTTATTTCTTTATTTCAAAATACGAACTTATTCAGTTTATGGAAAGATTTGTTTTCATTTTAGTTTATGGTTTTAAGCATATTCTAATAATTATGTATGGTGATTATAATTATGAAGAAATCGTGGAAGATTTTATCCGTTTTATTATAAATAAATAAGCTATTTGTTATGTATTTTACTCAGTAATAAATGTTAGAACTTTATACATTTTATATTTGAAAAATAATTTACTAATAACTAAGTTTTTGTAAAAAAAAAAAAAAAAAAAAATATGAGGAAGTACAATATTGCAACTATAACATTTTCTATAACAAATATGTAAAAAAAAAAAAAACCACTAAGTGCATAGTAATCTAATAAAAATTGTACTCAATTTATCATGTCATTACAAGTATTCGTCAACATTAGTTTTCGTAATAATAACAATATCGAATACTTAATCTACTTGTAACAAATTCATTTACATTTTTTTCGTAATAATAACAATATCGAATACTTAATCTACTTGTAACAAATTCATTTACATTTTTTTTCAAGTCAAAAACTAAAAAAGCAAATAAAAAGTACAATTTAACTATCAAATCAGTTTTTTAATGATACAATTAGTACATTAAATAATCTTAAAGTATTAATTATATAAATATTATTATGCGTGAACATTAATTGAGCAGAAATATACGATTTATTAATTATTTATTTTTATCATTCTCAATTATTAACATTACATAAATAAATAAATAAATAATTTGAATCCTTAGTGGTTTCGTTAAACGTATTTTAAATTTCTTAAAATTAAACTTTATTAACTTAATTTTTTGGTCTGTCAATAATTAAATAATTTTAATGACCTCTTATTGAGAAGATGAAAAAAATTAAAAAGAAAAATCATTTGATTACTCAATAGTTAATTATCTAAATTTTTAAAATAGTGATTACATTAAACAGTAAAAAAAAGTTCTAGTAAATAGTCACTTGGGCTTCTTATATGTTTGAGGCGTTATAATGATACTTTTAACCATTAACAACGGAAACAATAGAATAATAAGAATAATTGTGAATTACACCACTTGTTAATTCTAATAAAATACTATCTAAACAATATAAGAGAATTATATAAATATCAATGACAGCAAGAAAACTATTTGGACTAGATTACATATATTTATTTGTTTATCAATTACGCATTATTCTAGATAAATATCTTGAAAAGGCGAATATTTAAGTCACTCTTTAATCTTCAAAAAAATTGACATTATTTTATTATTCCACTGTCAATTGTCACGTGATGTATTTTTTCATCAACTTATTTAAAATTAGTATTGATAATTTAACGAGTTATTACTCTATATGTTTTATGTACAGTGACTCTCGATAAAACTATTATTATGTGAAATATAATCACATTCAGACTTGAATTTATAATTTGTAAATAACGGAATCATTAAATTAGCAATTGTTTTTATTATTAGCAATTTAGTAGGAATTTTCCTTTTCACTTCCAGCAGTACTTTCTTCTTGACCACTCTCATTTTCAATAAGATTATGTAACTCTTTACAAATGGTCTCTTCACAAATATCTGTACTCTCAATAACTTTTTCCAACTCACCATCCATTTCTTTGAATTCATCCTCAACAACTTCTTCACAGCTTTTAAACATTTCCTGATGATCAGCTGATAATAATTCTGGATTCGAGTTTGAATTAAGTATATCAGTATTAACTTCATCATCCGTTGTATCTGTTGATTGAGATACTTTTTTAAGAACACTGTCAACAAGATTTGTAGCGAAAGATTTACTTTCCGCACTTTCATGTATTGTCGGTTGTATAGACAATGATTGGGGTCGAATTAGTAGTGGTTTGCCATATGGAAATGAATTTTCTTCACCAGCTGGAGTGTGCACTGCCGATATTTCTGTTTGCGTTCCAACACCATTGTCAACTAACACAACTTTTGTTTGCATATTTGACATACATCGTTTTATCTCAGTCATTGAATCTTGTAATTGCTGCACCTGACTGTGCAATAAATTACAAGTCTGCGCAAGATTTGTAACAATATCAGTGTTTGCCTGTGCACTATTAATTTCATTTGCATCACGTCCACCTGGTTGTAAACTAACAACTTTTTTCCACAGTGCATTTATAGCTTGCATCTGAAGTAATTGTAGTTTATGTTCACTTTCAAGAGCAGTACGTGTTGCCTCCATGTCAGTTGATAATTTTTGTATGTACTTATTCGTCCTCATCATTTCAATTGTTTTTAAAACATTTGTAGCCTTTTTGTTCAAGTTACGTGTATGATAACCTCGCCACATTCTTTGAATACATACAGCTGCCTTTTCAGCTTGATCTTCAGCTTTATTTGTATCCTCCTGGCGTCTTTGAATAGCTCTGTGTCGAATATTATTTAATTTCACTTGACAAACTTCGCTATCTTCATCGCTACTTATTGCTGTATTATCATTACCCGTAAATTTACCCTTTAGTAAATCATTACTTTTTACTTTGTCATTTGTAGCTTTCATTCTTTGTGGATTTCTAGGCAAATTTGGTGAATTTCTAGCACTTTTTTTTGGTGTTGATATTTTACTTTGCACATAATTATTTATTTTAACAGCCTGTGGACATTTACCATTGGTATTTGTCGTAATAGGTTTAGCAATATTTGTTTTTCCTGCTACACAGTTGGACGCCGAATTACTTTTCATAAGAGAATTTGCTTTTAGTACTCCTACACTAGTTTTAGCAGTAACAATATTTGATAAATTGCTTGTTGTAATGGCTTTTGAATTATTTTCGTTGTTAATCTTAACAGGTACAATTGTCTGTATTGGTGAGTTAAGTCGAGATGGTGGAGTTTTTGGAAGAATTCGCGAGAGACCAGAAGGTGGCCGAAAATCTGGGCTCATCAATGATTCTGGCACAGGTACTAGTTTCGTTGCTGCTTGTAAAGGACTTGAAGTTTCTATTACAAAAATAAAACAAAATTTATATAAGCTAATTGGTGAAAAATTTAATAACGTATAGTTGATATATTACCTTCTATATCTTTTAATCCGGATTCTTTGGATTTGTTATTAAAAGTATTGCACAGCATATTTGGATCAAGACTTTGAGTCATTAGTAATTCGTGGTTATCAGCTAGAGTTCCATGACAAGATGATATTATAGTATCAGTATGACAACTTGCTACCATTCGATCTGGTGATCTCAATCGCATAGAATTACATGAAGAACCTAATAAAATAGAAGCTATTTGAGGATTTAAAATATTATTTTTTGTTTTTAATGATTTATTAATATGCATAGGACAAATTACGCTAGTACCGTCAGCCGAAGCTTGCAAATGATAATTTACCTGATGCCTAAGTACGTTTACTCAAAAAAATAATTGTACTAATTCAAAACTATCTAATAATTATATTTAATAATGTATTAATACTTAATCACTCTAATCAAACGTTTTATTAATTCTAGAAGCCGAAAGAAGCAACAGGATATGAACTCCAAAATTATTTCAGCAGAAAAAGAATTTAATTGTGGGATGATGTTAACTTTAATTATTTTTAAACAATAATAAAAAAAAAAAAAAAATCGTCTTTAATTTCGGAGATACCTTTGCATCGTGACGGGCAGACGCAGTATTTTGACTTGATAAATTTTGCTGATTGTAAGTATTTATCTTCGTGGAATGCAAAAATTGGTGCTATGAGTGAACAAAATTATATAATTACTGGACGTTGGTTTATTTAACTCACGCTCTTAATTGACATTGAAAAAAGAACGAGAGCCAAATGATCGCCTCAGTAATCAATCCTATATCTGTTTATTTTTACAACTAATTGCATTTTGTTTTTATTTCTTTAATTTTTTATTAAAATAATAATTATAATAATAGATTGAGAAATAAACTTACTTGGACGTCTCGGTGAGCTAGTACGATTAGGTCCTAATCTTCGTCTAGCTACCGGAGATGGTATCATACCATGAACAGTACTGGTGTCACTTTGCTGATTGAGTTGTTGTTGGTGATGCTGCGCTTTACTCAATATTAATCTAAGCTTTCTGTCTGTCTCATTCTCAAGACACTCACCCGATAATGGACAAACAGATGCTAAATATTGAGTAAGTAATGAATGCTCACCAACACGAAATTGTCTGCCTCGTCCTTGAGAATAAAGCCATTCAGCTTTTAAACTGAATGGGTCAGTTTATAAATTTTTTTTATAAGTATAAATATAATTTATTAATTTTTAGTGAACAGTATTGATTTGTATATGTAAAAAAATAATTATTTATAAAAATATATAATTATATTTTTTTTAGTATTCTCGTAAATCATGTTATGAAAATATTGTTAGTTTTTTTTAACTGTTTAATTATAAAATGTTTGAATCAATACTGTTAATAAAAAATTAATAAGGTCTTAGTTCATTTTTTTTATTTATAGTGCAAGTAACTGAATAAGTGAAATCATAAATCTATAATTATTAATTAGTAATTAATAATTATCTTACCTTTCAATCGGATCTACAGCATATCCATCGATTGACTTGAGACTCATACACCAATTGATGACAAATGGACGATAATCAAAACCACTATAAACTATTTAGTTAAGAAACATTATCTAGTATGTGTTTCTATAAATATTGTGATTAAATAAATTTAAATATTTTATCTAGGCTACAAACTAGAGATCTTCTGCAAGTCTAATAACAGTGATTAACTATTTAAAATAGATATGTTGCATAAAAAATTAAAAAAAAAAAGGATACATACTATTACCTGTAGAACTAACACAAGGATTATTAGCAATAGAAAAATTAATAAGGTTCGTCAATCCACTGAGATGAGACATTTCATTTAAATCTGTAATATTATTGTTAGCTAATGTTAGAGTTTCTAAGCATGTTGGCAAATATCTTTCAGATTGTCGTAACGTTATTATGCGATTATTGTGTAAAAATAACTCCTGAAATAAATATATTAATTACAATAAATTAAGTCGAATTAATTGGTTTAAAAATTAGAGTTGTTAATTCATACTTTTAAATTTCTGAGATAAGAAATATCAGAAATATGACTGATACTATTTTCAGATAAATCCAGATGTTGTAATTTTGTATTAGTATGCAGATGCTCAATGGACTGAAAAAATATGAGAAAAAAAATGTTTTAGACAATTAGTATTGAATTTTTCAATGTTAATTAAAAAATTAAGTTATGTGAAGCATACTTTAATATTATTCCCAGCTAAGCACAGAGTTGTTAAATTTGGCATATCTTTGATGCCTTCGATTGTTAAAATTCCATTGTTAGCCAAATTTAGTGTAACCAAATTACATAATTTTGATACTCCATACATTCGTAAAAGCTGATTGCGTACAATAGAGAGCTAAAAAAAATTATTCATCAGTATTTTTAAAAGAACAACTAGTTATTAATAATCTAATTAAATAAAAATTTAATAGCAGGAAAATATTATCTAAAATATTTCGATTCTTGAGTAAAAACATGATAAAACATTATTATCAATTATTTAAATATAAAAATCACTTAAATTTGTACAAACCTTTGTGATTCTGTGATAAGTATCAAGATTGTCAAGTCTTTGAAGTTCATTATCGTCTACGATTAAAGTATTAATATCTGCGTCTGACGGACACCGACTTAATTTTTTAAGTCCTTGACCACTCAGATCTAGAGTATCACAAACAGATGATTCTGATTCTTCACAGGAATTCATTCTGCAATTTATAAATATATACTATTATTAATTATAACTATAACTTATCATGATTGTTATGTGTTTAATAAAAATGACAAATAAAAAACAAAAAATAAACGTATAAAGTAAGAATATTGAATTAAACATAATAATTACATAAGTTCTTTTATTTCACTGATCAAAACTTAATATGGTTAAAATACCAAAATAATACGTGGGAACTGATTAAGTTTATAATATTATGAGTACAACAAACATAAGATATCTAAATTTAATTCAATTGATTTCCAACCCGCGGAAGCCATGATGAATACAAACCACTAAACCACACTACTGACATGACAGAAAATATTAAAGAACATGGTTTATTTCTCGTAAAAATACGGTATAGTAGATACGCTATAGGTGACAGAAAAAATGTGCAGTTAAATTTTATGTTGGTAATGTAGATGGCTATGTTACTTACACTTTAAATAATTATATAATTAATGTAGTAATTAATATGATAATTAAATATAAACAAAAGAATAATTTCGAAAATTTGGTGTCAACATTTTTTATATAAAATTTAAAAGATTTTTTTCAGAAAACATAAGAAATTTGAAAAATTGATATTATTACTACAGCAATAAACCATTACAGTTTTATTTATGATGCTGAAATCAGCCATCTGTCAATTTTTTAAAATTTTATAACAAATTATTAAATATTTCAATTACGAAAAAAAATTCCACATGTAAAATTAAAAAAAATTATCTGTGCGAATTTCAAAAAATTTTTTATTATTCAAGATTGATTTGTTCTAAATATATCGAAAATTTTCAGTTTTCATCAGCTGATTTTAATATCAATTTTATATGAAAATTAAGTTAGCCGACATCTAAAAATTTTAAGAATTTTTTTTTTTATTGAAAAAATCACTACAGAAAAATAATAAGTGTAATTTTTAAAAAATATTTTTTAGTTCTAATTTAATTTTAATAAATTAAAAATAATTAAAAAAATTAAAAACGTCGGCTAACTTTAGTATTATCAATTTTATTCTTAATTCCAACTTTTTCAACTTTAATTTTCACTCTTTAGTTATTTATTTATGTACATACATATATGCCACTAGGTATATTATATACCCATATATTAACTAATAGAGTATTCTTTAAATAATAGCTTGAAAATTATAAAAAAAAAATAATTGATTATATCATGGTACCTAGAGTTAAAATTAATTAATTTTATTAATAATATTCCAAAATTGTTATATTTTTTTATAATTCGAAAACACTTTCACAGAAGAATATTCAACCGTTACAATTTTAACTTTCGTGATTGATCGATTATCTTCGTAATCTATCGTATATAAATATATAAATCCCGCCACAATTTTCATGGAGTGAGAACAAAGTTATGTATGAGAGAAGCAATGATAATAACAACCTAAAAAACTGATCCATTACTTCACACCTATCGGAGTTGTTTAATTACTAAAATATTTTTAATAATTATAATTAAAAAATAAATATTCACAGGTAAAAAGCATTTTAAATGCCAATCAGCAATAAAGGTAATATTTATTATATTCTATGTGGTAAAAAAATCTATGATTAGAATTTACATCTATTGACCAAATAAATTTATATCCATTAACACACGATATATTTATTTATTATTTACAGCTTAAACAAACAAGTAAAGATGATTGCTAACTACGTTGACGGTAATACCATAAAATACGACTGTAAAATTGATGGCTCTGTAGATTATTTTGGTTCTACTCAATACTTTATGAAAGCCCTTGATTATTGTTTGATCACATTAAAAGTCGAGTACGTTGCTGGAGATAAAAACATTTTGATTGATATAAGAAAGGATTACATTACTAAGCCTGGTACTGTTATTTTTCAAGTATTTGTTAACAAATCCAGACAATATTCTGCTATTGTTCATGACTGGATTGAAAATCACAAGCTGGAGGTGCTAAAAGATAGTAAATTTAGCGCATCTATGATTATTAGTTGCAAATTAATTTGGTTAGGGTTTACGGATAAATCTATACCATCATCATTAATCAATACAAACAAAGATTATTCTATGTTTTATGTGACAAGTATGTTGAATGACATAAAATTAATTGTTGGTGGAGAAGAAATTACATGTCATAAAGTTATTCTCGCTGCTCACAGTCCTATTTTTCTAAAGGAGTTTCAGTCAAATAACGGAATGGATCGTATGATTATTGAGAATGTTGAACCAGATGTTATGAAAGAGGCATTAAGGTTTTTGTATGCTGGTGATACGTTAGCTGAAAATAATTGCGAACTTGCGTTAAGACTATTGAGTGTTGCCGAACGATTCAAGATAACTAAATTACAGAATTTCTGTGGGCCAACTATTTTTCGTTTTATTAGTGTAGAAAACGCTATTCGTATTATTTGTGAAGCTGAGAAAAATAACGCCCTCAAATTACGTAAAATGACCTTAAAATTCATTATCGAAAATATAACGACTATTGAAATGCAAGACGAGTACAAAAAATTAACGTTAGCCAAAAACGAATTGTTATATGAAATTATTGACGGCTTAAGAGAAACACGTTCAAAAAAAGCAAAAAGAATCAAAATTTGTTTTGCCTAAATATTTAGAAGTTTTCTGGTTTTTAATTGTATATATCTTAAGTAAGTTTTGTACTTAAAATATTGTAAAATTACTTTAAAACAAGTAAAAATAATTAGCTTATAAAAATAAATGTTTAATAGTATTGATATTAAAATTTTTATACATAATATTTGAAATATGAAAATATTAGAATAAATAAAGAATAATAATTCTCATTTTTTTATGATTATTAAAAAGTACATACTCAACACTGTTTACTTTGTACAGTTGAATTTTTTTTTTTTGTTAAATTGTAATCTTAGACAATATATTTTAATAAAAGAAATACATCATAATTAATAAATAAAATGTTTATTTTTATTTCATTTAATTTTTACAAGTACGATAGTTTTTTCAAGAAAAACTTTTTCTTGAAGGTAAATTATTAGAATTTTTGTGTGAATAAAGAATAATTATTTAATTGTTAAGTGCGTTATTCTGTAAGTATATTTAAAATTAAAAATTATCTAACAAACGCAACAATTTTAATTTTAATTTATATCAGGTCAATATTAATCATCTTGTAATTCAGAATTTAGTGAGAATTACATAATGCAATTTATAATTAAGAATAAAATTTTTCTTTTAATCTTCACAGACATTGTAAGGAGAAGAAATTATTTATATTAGAAAAATTGTATATTTTTATAGTGTTTGTAAGAAAATTAAAAAATAATTTTAATTTACTGAAACTAATATATGTTAACAATTGTAATATTTACCAATCGTAATGTAACTGAAACGAAAACAAGATAGGTCAAGGATCATGTTAGTGAGAAAACAAATCTGAACAATATCACAGTACTTAAGCGTCACTCGTACGAGGCGATTGATTTTAATAAAACTTCATTTATTTACAAAAAAAAATTTTTTTTAATTCAAAATGCAAATAAAGGATAAAAAAGGGATTATTATAGGAACTGTAAATCGCTTAGGAATAGCCTTTTGCCGTGAACTGCTTAGAAATGGTGCTGAAGTGAGTTTTTAGTGGGATTAATATCTTAATTATTATTATTATTATTAGTAATTAATCATTGTACTTAACTAATTTTATTTGAATATTCAACAGAAAATTGTGATGATTGGAGACCGAGAGATTAATGATGATGAAGTATCACCAATAGATGAATTAAATCATGAATTCGGTGAACAACGAGTTACACACTACAACAGCGATAATTCGAAGAGTAGCGAATTAGATAGTAAGTACTTTTTCATTATTTGTTTTGTTAGGTAAAAATATAATTAATTGATTGATTGATGAATAACTTATTATTTAAGATTTCTTCTTTTAAATAGCAATATTCAAAGAAGCAGTGAATTATCTAGGAGGACTAGAAATTCTTATTAATAATGCAGATCTCTTCAATGAAATCGATATAACGAAAGCTGTTGATGTTAATATTGTAAGCATTGATAAATATTATCGGTGTTCTTACGCTCTTTAATTTAATTTTTTAAACATTTATAATCTATCATGTCTTTCTGATAGGCTACAGTAATTCGTAGTAGTCTACTTGGGGTACAACAAATGGGAAAAGATATGGGCAGTAAAGGAGGTATTATCGTGAATGTTGCATCAATTTTTGGCCTTGAACCTGTACCACAACTCCCCGTTTACTCTACTGCGAAACAAGCGGTTATCAGTTTTAGCCGTTCATTTTCAGTAATTAAATTCATCATTAACATTTTTAAACATTTTATTAATAAATTAATTAACTAATTAAATTTTGCAATAATAAACAAACAATTTATTTTCAGCAACCTTATCATTTCAAGAGAACAGGAGTTAAAGTAGTTGTACTTTGTCCAGGATTATCGAAAATTCAGGATTATCCGAGTGAAAAATACCCAAATAATGATTCGGAAGTCACCGGGGCCAAATGTGCAACAGTTCATCCCCAAAAGTAATTTTGATATGAATAAAAATTCGTTAACTTTAATACTAAAATTATTGATGTCTATACGCTTAAATTAATTGAAGAGTCCATCGATTTTTTTTGTTAAATAATTTTAATAGAAATTAAAAGTTTTTAGGATTTACTAAAATAAATTTGTCATATCTTTTAAATTAATTAAGTGCAACTTTAAAACAATTAATTTTGCTATAAACAAAATTTTTGCACAGAAATTAGCATCGGTGCAAGAATTATAAAAAATTTTTTACAACGATTTAAAAATTTTTTTAATATTATAATTTTTAAGCGAAATTGATGTCGATAAATTTCTTTATTCTTACCAATGAAAGTGATTTTTAAATTAATTCGGAAATATACGAGAAAAATATATGTACAAATTAATGTTTCTTAACTTTCGCATTATGAAAAATAATTACCGAAATTTCTTATGCATTACAAAAAAAAACCAAAGTAATAATCATGCGTCAGGTTACTTTAGTCTAAATTATTATCGATATAAAGATTATAAAGATATAAAAATTATAAAGATATAAAAATTGAAGAGTAAAAGTGACAAAAATTTTTTTTCAATTTTTTAAGATCAATATTTTTCGATTTTAAAACTTGTTATTTCAAAAAACGTTTTTTTCTGTCGTACCTCTTCAGTTCAAACTTTTTTATGTATTTGTTCAACAATATCTTAAAGTTTTTAGGCTTGTACATGTATCAATTAGATTTGAGTATTCATAGTTATATTTAAGAGAGGGTGCAGGTTAAAATTTCAGAAATATAATCGTTTATAAGATAAATTTTTAAATAATTACTTTAAGCCATTGAATATATGTTTTTTTTTTTTTTTATAACGATTTTGGACTGAAAATGATTTCAAGTACGGGATACATCGCGTTACAAATGCCATAAGGGCGTATCAGCCTATTATACGCCCTTATGGCACCCGAGGTACCAACTGGGGACCATAAGGGCGTACAAAAAAAATTTCAAATTTGAAAAATTTTTTTTTTCGTCATTTCTACGCGTTTCAAGTGAAAATACGTTGTTTCCCGAAAAAAAAATTTTTTGGTACGCCCTTATGGCTCCCGGTAGGTACCCTGGGTGTCATAAGGGTGTACCAAAATTATTTTTTGCTTTTCTGCCCGTTTCAGGCATAACTACGTCGATTCCCAGAAAAAAATTTTTTATTCGCCCTTATGGCTTTTCAAGGGTATTTTTTTCGAGATACGCCCTTATGGCATCAGTAACGCGACATGTTTTTAGAGTACAGATATTGATAAGACAACTTAAAATTAAAATCTTCAGAGAAAACCAAAAAGCGTCAAATCTTTAATATAAGCTTGTTAATGAAACTGATCAAGATTAATCTATTCTAATGATTTTAAATTTGATTTTTAGAGTTGAAACAGTAGCCCATGGCTTAGTATATGTAATAAGATGTGCACAAAATGGAAGCATTTGGATAAGTGAAGACAATAATCCTATTTACGAAGTGCAACTTCCCGACGTTCTTCCTCACAAATCAAAAGAAGAAGAATCATCAAGTTTTTGAAATTTATCTTGAACAAAAATTTATTATTCTTATTATAAATATAATAATAATAATTGTTGTTGTATCTTAGTCAAATTGATTGAATAAAAATGGTTTATCTTGAGGAAGAATATCAATAAATTATTTATATTTTTTATATCAAATTATTTATATATAACTTACAGAAATAAGATAAATAAAATAAAAAAATATCCTGATGAATTTTGATTCGTTGCTTTTGTTCTTAAAATAGTATTTTTTTCTAATAGAATTTGAAATCTCTATATCTTCTCGTACAAAAATGAATTGATCAATTATTGATCACTCAGTTATCAATTAATAACCTCTGAGTGATCAATTATTTATCACGAACTGATCGATCATTGATCACTGACAGGTATCCTATTAATCACTGAGATCAGTGATTGATCACTTCGAGATCACTCAATGATCAATTTATGAACACTGAGGGCCAATTTTTCAATCCAGGATAAAATTTTATCCAATGATAAAATATATCTATAAGTTTCATATATATAAATATATAAATATATATAAATATACAGGCAATGATAATTTTATCCTGGATAAAATTTTATCTTGGATTGAAAAACTAGCCCTGAATGATCAATTGATGAATATGAAATGATCAATGATCGCTCGGCTCGTGATAAATAATTGATCGCTCAGTGATCATTAACTGATCATTCAGAGGTCATTAATTGATGAGTGAGTGATTATTAATTGATCATTGAATGATTGCTAATTGTTCACTTAATGAGTATTAATTTATCGCGTAATGATCAATAATTAATCACCGTATGATCTCTCAGCGATAAAAAATTAATCTCTAAATTATCATTGGATAATTTCTTACAAAATCGCTAAATCATCAGATATTTTCTAACCGATCATGTGCTAATTTTGTTGCTCGTCTTCCGACCCAAAGCGGTTGAGATAGTGCTTTACTTTTAGCACGTCAAAGTCAGGGAATTTTGTAATTTTAATTTTAATTCTATTTCTAGATGGTGATTTGATGATTAATCATAATAGAGTTTAATTTGCAATTAGCTACAGAGCTTGATTGCCAATCATCAAGCCATCAATATGTTACGATCGAAAATTTATCAATAGAGATCTCTGAATGATCTCTCGTTGATCTATGGTAGACTCATAATTGATCAGTCAGTGATCAATAATTGATCAATCCATTTTTGTACGGGCTATTAATAATTTGCATAAAGTTAAATAAGGTTTTAAGTCAGAAAAACTTGATACTTTTATAACAGAGAAATTTTTAGAAATTTAACACGTGGATCTAAGGATAGGATAGGATAGAAAAGACACAAATAGTACATGTTCTGCTGTTTCAGAATATTCAAGAAGACACTTTCAGAATTTTTAAAGATATCTTTTAATGTTTGACTAAAAAATTTAAATCTATAGATGTCAATTTAAAAATAAAAATAAATATTATATAATCTAAATATTTATATATGTAATTATTATTTGAAAATTATCTCAAGACGATAAAATTATCTGAGAAAAATTGTGGTGTCTAAAGTTTAATGATACTCATTATAAGAATTAAATCTTAAACTTGTAAATTATTTTTTTTTTTTTTTTTTTATAATTTTATCAGCGACTTCTCTTGAAAACGTCAAAATTGTCCACGTGATTGCTTTTAACATTTATGTACCATAAATATAATTATAACTTCTTTTTTTTATTAGAGGTCAAATAATAATACAAATGATCACGTGAATATGATAACAAAGTTTTTTTTTCCTTAAATCAAGTTACGTAAAAATGGTAAAACTAATTCAAAAATATCAAATTATATTATCATGAATTTTCAAATGATTCTTATTGGTTTAATATCATGTCCTTCCCGCATTTTTTTGGTAATATCAGTCGAATGCCCTCGTGCCAAGAATGATTTCTAATCTCGAAGGAAAGTCGCGTGCCCGATAAAAAGCTGACGTCTCATACATTTTTCTTGATCTTTCTTCACCTTTTGTACTAAGAAGATACACCAAGCCGTAGAAATAAATAATTATTATGTATTTTATCGTATAAGTGTATGCAAAGAAGCATCGAGATTACTTATAGCAGTTAAAAGCAGTTCAATTATGAACTTTGAGTTCACTATCAGTTACTAGAAATAACTTTTATGTTTTATGTTTAAGCAGGATGCAATTTTTCATTTTAACTATCAAAGATCATGAACAAAAATCAGCAATTAAATTACAATGATAGTGCACAATACTTTGTAATCTATTGAGTTCACATAGAATTGATCTAGAAGTATGATAAATTAAAAAATGTAAAACTTGCAAGTGTTATAAAAGTAGAAAATTTTATATCATTGTCTTAACGTGAAAATGTTTATCAATGTAGATTTTTAAAAGAATTGAACTCTCCCCTCTTAAATTTGCGCGTGTCGCGACAGATTAGCTGTCTTTTTTTCATTTTTTTTTTTTTCATAATCTAGGAAGGGATGTACACGCTGTGGCGCATGGAACTAATTACGTTGTTCTCCAACATATATAAATATAAACTTCATCTGTGGTCATAAGTTTAGTTTAATTCTCTTAACTCAACTCACTGAGAAGTTTGTTCTTAGCAACTGGTCTGAGTTAAAAGACTGAAAAAAAGAATTTAGTTTTTCAATATTAATATTCTTTTAATAATATAAAATGGGTAAGTTAAATAATTCAATAAAATATTTACCTAATTATTTAGTGACGTAAAATAATTATTAAAAATTATTTTAGCCGATTTTCCGGATCGTAAGAGCCGCCGTGCATCTGCTGAAGAAAAAGCAAAAGAGCTCGAAATCATAAAGGGTATTGTGTGTGGTAAAAATGTTGTTATAACTGGTGGAGCTTCCGGATTGGGTTATTCCTTTGTTAATCACTTTCTCGAACATGGTGCCAAGGTTTGTCGAAGAAATATATACTTCTCAAATGTTCAAGGATTTTATTAGTTTCTTCTTCTAACAAATATCATTTACTCTAGAAAATTGCCATCATTGACGTAGATACGACAGCCGGTGAGCAAGCTGTTAAAGCAGTAACTAAAACCTATGGAGCAGAAAAAATAATTTTTATAAATGCTGACACTTCAAATTATTCACAAATACATGGTAATTATTTTAATAAAAAACTTACAGTTTAATTACTTTGAATAATTTTTAATATTATTATTTTGCTGCTCCAGATGCTTTTGCTCAACTTACAACATCTATGGATAGTATTGATATCGTAGTAAATAATGCTGGTATTTTGGACGAACGACGATGGGAAAGAGAAATCGCAATAAATATTGTAAGTTATAATATTGATATTTTAGATTCTCTGAAAATTTACCATTAAAAATACACTGATTAATAGTAATTGATTATTTTTTATTTTTAGAGTGGAATGTTATTTGTTGCAAATATTGCGTTACAATTTATGGGTAAGGATCAAGGGCACAACGGAGGAGTTCTTGTAAATATCGGTCAACATTTTGATTTTAAAACAACAGCTCAACTTCCAGTATATACCGCAACTAAATCAGCAATGATTGGACTCTCAAAATCTCTTGGTGTAAGTTTTTTTTTTTTATACATATAATACTGAAGAAAGTTGACTTTTAATTTAAATCGACATTTTTATACTTATTTTTTTATTCACTAATAGAAAAAATTAAAAAATAATAAATAATCGATGTGATTATTTTATAGGCACCTTATCATTATGAAAGAACTGGGGTACGAGTGTTGGCGCTTTGTCCGGGACTTACTGAGACAGCACTTACAATAAATAGCCCAAATAGATTATCTTCAAGAATTATGAAAGCAGATTTTGTTAAGAATCTTGAGAACCTGTCGATTCAAACGTAAGTATATTTATTAATTTGATTTGAATATAGTCAAATAGATTAATTAAATGAATATGACATTAAAAAAAAATTGTTTTTCTCAATTATAGGCCTTACATAGTAGCGAAAGGATTGATGACAATACTGAAATGCGGTGAATCCGGTAGTATATGGGTTATTGACAACGGCAATACACCGTATGAAGTAGTAATACCTCATTATCAATCTCTAAAAAGAAGCTACAAAAATAATTTCATCCCTACATTGAGTCATCCAACGATAAAAGGGCGACCGATGAAAGAACTTAGAATTTATGATAATAACATAAGATCAGGACTTACGAGTTGTGCTTAAATTTGTAGAAATTAATTTTTTTTTTCTTAGTTAAGATGAGCATTTACGAGCATTGCTTTAAAGTACATAAAATTAGATATAAGTGAGAAATTATTTTACACATTTATTAAATTACAGAATGAGTGAACAAAATGAATTCTTCAATGATATCATTTTAGACTGAATAAAAACTTATATTTATAATAAGAAATGTATAAAAGTATAGTGTGGATTATTGTAAATAGTACTGAGAAAAATTATAAAATAAATTTCGAAGAAAAAAAAATATAGAAAATTTGACAATTTTTTTTCTTTTCATTCCATTATTATTCACCATCATGAATCACAATGTTAACTGTACAAAAAAAAACCACAATTGTCAATAATTGCTCATGCTGCTCTAATAATTTTATACGAAGAGAAATCATCAACAATATTTTGCTCATTTCTTTTCTCTAAGTTTCATTTATAGCCTCATTTTTCCAAAATTCAAATTCTACTGACAATCGTCAAATTATACAATTTATATTAGTATAATACTCCTAAATTAAATGACGTAAACTTAATAATTTTACTATTTGACAGTTAATTATAATCCAGTTAAATTAAATAACTTAAAGTAAATGGGAGAAATTTATTTCTATATTCAACGTGTAGGCATTACATTTTTAAGATAATGAGACTCGATTGGAGTCTATAAAAAAATAACACTCATTAACAATTGATTAATAATTATTATAATAAACATATTTTTTAAATTGTCTAATGATCATCATCGTACATTATTCACTTTCATTTCTATTTAAAAATCGTAATTCAAAACAGCGTGAGATTCATATAAACTCACACATACTTTGTCGGTTCAAAAAAAAAAAAACTCAAAACCCTACAGTAAATACATAAAAGTAACGTTTGCAAATAGTTACAGTTATTCTCGGCAATTTTTACAATGTGTTTGTTTTTCAAATCATCTATTCGTTTTATTTGCTCGTAGTCATTAATGCTCAAATAAATTTTGTTCGAGGGTTTTATTTTTTTTTTTTCCATCATATTAATTTAATGTTTATCATTTGTAATAATAAATTTATTTACTTTTATTAATTTGGCTTAAAAAAAAAATAATGTTTATTTTATAGAATTTCTTCCCACTTTTAGATAATTGTAAATAAATCGCTTTTTTTTTTAATATAGAATGTTTGTTTTTCTTTCGATTCTTTATAAAGCCATATTTTATCTTAGTTCATTTACTTATTGGCCATAAATTTTTAGTAACACCCTACACGGCACAAGTTCGAAAATTTACTATCACGACACACTGTTAATAGCATTCTTATTTATAATTTTTATCAATTTTTATTTTTTAAATTTATTTATACGTATTCTATTTTACATTTACTGTTACATATTACATATATTTATAAATATATGTATGTAACATGAGACATTAATTTTTCGAAAGAAAATGCATTACCGACTTATAGTTTCACCCGGTCAATGATCACATACATTACGTTAGTACACGCTAATTCACGATAAGCAACCAATATTAAATGATCACGAGCATTGTATTTTTTTATCAACAGTATTTATACGAAGGAACAGCGTGTTACAGCGTCAAATAATTCGTATTCAATTATTCATTATTTAGTTACTCGATAACTTAAAATTACATTATTCAAAATAGTTGAAAATTACTTATTGAGAAATAAGGAAGACAGATTTGATTGATAACAATCCATTTGGCAATAAAATAATCCCTCAACTTCCGTCCAAGCGGATACAATCCAACAACACCTTAATATTTCCAGCAATTGATACACTTTCTTTTTTTCAACAAATATATGTTACTATATACATATACTGTTCATTATTTTATGCCTGAATTTTTCTCCTAATATACTTTCAGGATAGTTAGACCAAATCTGCTTCTTTTCAGTACACACCTTATTATCATTTTTTTTTCTCATTGGAATTTTTCAGTTTTAATCTTAGTTTTATCTTTTTTTTTTTTTTTTTTTACTTTTTCGTATTTTTACAACTTAAAACAGCGAAGAATAAATTTATTCGTATAGTTTATATTGTATAACCTCCCCAAAAACCCTTTTCACTTCTCATTTAATTATTTGAGACTATTCTAAATACTTTTCATTATGACAAAACCAAAAAAAATAAAATATAACAAAACTAACCCGATAGTATTAATAGTAATAAAAAAAATAGTATTTATGAATGTACGAAATTTAATGCATTTCTTCCGAGGTTAACAACCGTACTCTTAGTAGTATTTGAAATTGTATTTATAATTTTACTCAAATTTATAGAATACTAAGTTATTCATATTTGATTGTAATGTCAAATTAATTTTTGTAATCGCATTTAATATACATTACTCATCACTATATCAAAGTACGGTTGAAAATTTACTCATTTACTCTCGATCATTTTCTTAATCTTGTTTGGTTCTTATGATACCGCACATACAGTAAAAATCTTAAACTAAGTAAATACTTATAAAGTATCGCGTTGTTTATGTATAATTGTAATTTTAATCCCATTATAGTGATTCGTTATCATTCTAGTGGGTTTAGGGGAGATATATATAAATATTTATATAATGAAGCACTTTTACGCAGTACCAGTAACAAGTCGATTCTGAGATTGACTTGTACTTTGATTATTGATAGGACCATTTTGTCCGCCGTTACTGTTACTACCTTGATTTTGTCCTCGTTTATTGCGATTAGCTGGATTGTTACCGCGGTTTCCTCGATAATTGCCACGGTATCCGCCTGATCCAGGGTTCATTCCACCCATGTGACCACCAGCTCCGTTGTTGTTACTACGATATGCTCCACCCATTCCACGATTATAGTAGCCTCGACCGCGAAAGCCACCACGTCTTGTTGATGATACTCCAAATGTTTCTGTATTCAACTTACGCTCAGTTCGCCAATCCGTACGCTGAGATCTTCTGTTGAAAAAAAAAAAAAAAAAAAATTAAAAAAAAAAAAAAAAAAAAAAATTATTATGGAAAATTTAATCTGAGTTTCTCATTGTACCTTCTGTGTTTAGTTCTTCAATAACTCGTTATTAAGAATTAACAATTAAATGAAATATTCAAATACAAAAAGGAAATTTATAGATGAAAAAAAAAAATTAGCTTTGACTTATAAATAAATAAACTCTGATAATAAAAATTTTAATGAATTTCTCCAAATAAAACAACATTGTATAAAAATAAATATTGATCACTATTTTTGTACATCGCTTCCGTTTTTTGATAATTGAAATGGGACAGCTGCACTAAAATTTTTTTGCAGATCGAAACAATAAAAGATTGTTCAGCAGTTGAATAAAAATTACTCAAGTTTATATTTCGTTTTGAGTTATTTATAGCCGTTATCAGTTAGCATTTATATGAAATGCGGAAAATAAATTCAAGTTTTAACTATAAATTTATTCAATTTATAAAAAAATAAAAAAAACACTGTTAGAAAAATACTAACCCTTTACTTCTTTCCACGGCTTCACAGCTGATGTTATCAAAGAACGACTTAGCTTTATCATAGTGAACAACATCAGTTTCCTCTTCAGGTTCTCCTTCACCGGCTCCAGTCTCATTTCCACTGTCATCTTTTTTCTCATTCTCTGTGCCGACATCAATTTTTGTTTTGGCTAACCGGGATCTATATCAATAAATTAATTTATACTCAATAAAAATTTCTTTAAAAAAAAAAGTAATAAATAAATGAATAAATAAAAATTGTAAGTATGTTGCGTAAGCCAAACGTCAGTGATTAAACGATGGTTTTAAAAACATACTTATTTTATTTCGCATGATATCCACATTCATCATTTCACTTAAACATTGAAACAAATCCGGCACAGATCATGCGTTATCTTAAATGATGATTTGTGATAAGTAATAAATAGTAATGCAAATAAAAGCTTACCTAAGTTCTTCGAATTGGGTATTGGCTTGCTCAAAGTCGTAGTCATTGTCGAATTTCAAAGTATTCTTGGGTTTACTGCCAGTGTTACCCTGTTGATTTTGAGGAAAAGCACCACCACGACCTCCTCGTCCACGGCCACGGGAAACATTACCACGTGGAACCCAGCCACCGCGATTGCCAGTGCGTCCACCAGGAGGTCCGTGGGTACCTTGAGGTCCATGAGACCCTTGAGACCCTCGAGAATGTCTCTGATTGTGCATCTGATTGTCGTGAGTACTTCCGTCACGTTTTCCATCACTGTAATGGGACAATCCACTGCCACTTCGACGGCTTTGCCTAAATTAAAATTCCGAAATTTTCAATTAAAATACTTGAGAAAAATATTTAAATAAAACTAAACTTTCGTAATTAATTTCAGTCTTACGTGTCACGATGTTGAGATTGTACGTTTCGGTTATTCGGTTTCTCAATAGCTTTTCCACTACCTTGTTTTTGCTGATGTCCTACCTGAGTCCCTTGATCAATTGTTGGACTTTTTCTGTTCAGAAGCGAAGATGTTGGAGTCGTTGATCGTGACCCACTAATCAAATCCATAACACCTACAATATTATAATTATAAAATAGTTAATATTTTAGTTAACATTAAAGATATTAAAGTCGATAAATATAAAAAAAAAATAATCATAATTATTATTTGTAATGACAATTTGAAAAGTTTCAACTGTTGTTGCTATTTGGTTTGTAACACGACAATGCACTTCTGATTTCAAAAATTAAAATTTTTTTTATTTTGTAGTAGAAGTATGTAAAATTATAAAATATAAGACAGAAAATACAAGATATGTATTAAGAAAAAATGGTTTCAAAGCGAAGAATTTGAGAAAGCAAGAAGTGAAATACTTAAATATTCAGTTAAAAAGAATTTCAACTTATACTCTCATGCATTAGATTTTAATATAGTACTAGCAAGAACGTTTAATTATTTACGACATTTAACTACACCAATTTTATAAATAATTGCAATGGAAGTGTATAATGTCATAAAAGATGATAATTGATAGTGTAAAAAAAAAAATAAATATTAAAGTATACTCATGGTAGACTGCAATTTAAATAATTATTACAGATAAAAATTTGTATGCAAAATAATGTTTAAAAGTTAAGTTAATAAAGGAAAAGCAATAGGCATATTAAAAGCAAATTATTAGAGTTAAAAAAACCTTTATTGCACCATGCTAATAAAAAGCAAATAAAGAGTGCTCGAAATGCGGCTAATAAGCAGCAAATGAAGACATGCGTCATTGGCAGACGAAAGTGTTCATAGCAAAAACAGTTTACCATCTTCAAGAGATTGATCTTTTGTCAACGGCTTGACGTTGGCCGTCGGCAGTGTATTGGGGATATTGATGACGTTGGAATCGACAGGTCCTGAGGTCAACTCACTTGGAGGTTTATTCATGTTTCCTCGAGGATCTCTGACTGGAGGCATCGTCATCACTGGACCCATAGCTCCCATTGTCATACCGTACGGCGGTCCGTATTGGCCAGCCATTGGAGGCATCTGGCCCATCATTGGATGTCCATAACCAGGCTGCGGTTGATAGGACTGCTGATTCATCGTAGGTTGAACGGTCATCTATAAAATAAGTAGCAAATAAAAATTTTTATTTCAATAATTTTTTTATAATCTTATTCGAATTCCATTAACTACTATTTACCTGAACGATCGCTGGGTCGTTGGGAATAGTGTTGACATTGTTGACAACTCGGATGTCTTTAATGTCAGATCCTCTGAAGAGAATATACTCATAAATTTGATTTTGAGGAGCAACCGGAAATTGCGTATCCCGATCTTCCGTTCCAAAAGATCGCACTGTAATGTTAAAAATACAGGTTTAATGTAATGTGTTAAGTAATTTTTATTTAGAAATAAGAATTTGAGAATAGAAAGAATTGCAGATTAAAATTGATGAGTCATCTACCGATTTTAACTAAGTTCATCAATGAACAGGTATTATAAAAATTTTTTTTTTTTTAAGAAGGGAAAGAATGTAAACAACACATATCAATTCGTGTATGTTAGCTAACTGTTGCTAGAGCGCGATAATAACATACACTACCGACAAAAAAAAAAAAATTCATTTTAACGTGAAATTCCGGAAGATTGATAATTTTCTTTCTTTATCCTTTCAAACCTTCTAGATATATAAATTTTTGAAAAATATTTGTATATATATATATTTTTTTTTAATAATTTATCAAATATTGTGTTATTTAAAAATACTTTTAAATGTGTAAAATATGGTTTTTTTTATCTAAGAAAAAAAAATCACGTGCAATTGCTGAAAATTTTGAATAATAACAATTAGCAACAAAAAAAAAAAATATTATGATAGCAGCGGTAAATTGAGATAATAATTCTTTTTATATTAGCAGTTAAATCTGGTTATTTGTTGGAGTCATTAATGAACGGTATAATAATTAATTGGGAATAAAAAATCAATATAAAAAAAATTAACGGTAATAAACTTGAGTTTGATAAAATAATAAATAAGGTAGCTGAAATAAAAATGAAAATGTGTAATTAGTTATGGATAAAGCAAGCCAGAAAAATGGAACAATGATGCTTACAATTTGTACTCCATCTTGAATAGATACTATGTTACAAAAAAAACTCACCGTTTGCGAGAGCGATTGTGCATTCTTGAGGATCTACGGTAAAAAGTCTTCCTTCGTAACGAATATCAGCTTTTGATATTAAGCTGATCTTAGAACCAAGCTCCGGCATTCCAGCACTCATCTTGACGAATTATTATTTATTCTTCGATTGTTAAATTAGTAAGTATCGTTGTTGTTGAACTCGCGATACCATTTGACCAAGTGAACAAGCCGACAGCAATGGCCAATATGCTTTTATGCTTTGCTGCTAAATGCTCCCGTATGCACTGTACTATAACTGTGAGTTCTGTGTCCGCCTGTGTCGTTGTTACCAATAATGCCAACACTTGAGACTTGTCAGAAAGGCGCTTGCTCCAAGCGATTTAAAATACCTCATTATTTTTATCATCATTCAATTTTTTGAAAACAATTACTTGTTTTATTTAAATAAATTTTTTCGATTATTTTTATATTGCTAATCGATATTTATAAACCAAATAATATTTAATGACATTTTTTTTTTAAATAAAGTTGGTGATCATGATTAGTCAATTGATAATTTATTAAATTAAATAATTGACGTAGTAAATTTAAATTAAATAAATTAAAAAAATTTTTAAGATTTTTAAAAATTATTCTGCATAATTTTCATTGTTTTATAATTAAACCGATTTCACGAATAAAAATTTTTAATTTGACTTGCGTTCTTTTCACATTTGCACCTCTGGCCAACATGGCGGCATCGCTTGGACGTATTTGTCGATCTGGATTTTTAAAATCTAACAATGGAAGTCTATTTAACCAGGTAAATTTTTTTAAAATGAAAATAATTCGTAAAAATAATCTTAATTATTATAGTAATTTTTTCCCCTAGCATCATTGTCAAAAAAAAGTGATTAACCGTAGGAATAGTTTTGACCCTATCATTAGGACTAACATGTCTCGTGGGTATTATGACATCGTTTTATAGATTATTTTAAACCTTAATGGTATTTTTTGATTGGCCTAATTCTTTATTATTACTTGATATCGCTATAAACATTAACAAATGAATTTTGATAATTATTTCATCATTGTTATGTAATAGTTATTCGTAGTAAAAACAGAGACCTGCCATCATTATTTTGTACTGGCCCTAGGATTACACCACTATATGTCATGCTAAAATTTATAACATATATTTATACATTTATAACTTTAGATTTTATGAAAGGTATGTTCATGAACCTTTATTTATCATATTAGTGTCCTTAAAATATTATATTTAGTTTTTGTCCGAAGTTCTTTTTTTTTTTTTTTAGGGTAAAAGACTCCATTAGTGGCGGGGACCCCATTACTGACACTTTCTTTGATTTTGGTACTTATTTAATTAATGAAATCATTAATTTCAATAATGAATATATTATTTATAATCTTTAAGACCTTTAGATCAAAAAATTTTTTAATTTTTATTCCAAGTAGAACATTTTCTCATTGTAAGAAAAAGTGCCACTAATGGGGTCTTTTACCTTATTTGTTTTTTATTTTTTATTATGGAGTACATAAATAGCGATAAAATAAACATAAGACTTGAATTTTACAGGCTAGTCAATTCTCGACAGTTAAAGACTGGTCCAGAGGTCGGAAGGCGGTAAGTAATTTAAAAATGTTTAAAAAAAATAAAAAATCCTTTAAATGAATTTTTTCACTAATATTCTTCATATATTTTTATGCTGCAGATGGTTTCATGTTTGGGTGTAGCCGTTGGAGGTGTTGGAGCATTAATTTATTCATTAGAGCAGTCAGTAAAAGCATTTGAATTGATTGCTCATCCTCCACACTACCCCTGGAGTTGGGAAGGTTTTGTAAATTCGCTCGATCATGCAAGGTAATTTTTCATTATTTACCAAATTCAATAAAATTACTAATTAATTATTTTATTTTAATCTACAAAACATTAATATTTTTCAGTATGAGGCGAGGATGGGAAGTTTACAAAAATGTTTGCTCAGCTTGTCATAGTTTGAAATTCGTCGCTTTCCGTCATCTTATTAATGTAACGCATACAGAAGATGAAGTTAAAGCTATAGCTGAAGAATATCAAGTGCGTTATTAATATAATTTATTTTTATAAATTGATTGATTAAGTTCATATCTGAAACAATTTATTCAATTTAATAGATAAAAGATGGTCCTGATGACAAAGGAGAGTATTTCATGCGGCCAGGAAAGGCATCAGATTATATTCCTAATCCTTATCCAAATGAAGAAGCAGCTCGTGCTGCTAATAACGGAGCCTATCCACCAGATCTTTCGTACATTATTAACGGAAGACACAATGGGGAGGTAAATTTATCACTACCTAATTTTATTAAAAAAAATTAATATCATTTTTATTTTATAATTTTTGGATAAAAGTCTTTAACTAAAAGCGCTTGTTAAATGAATTAATTTTTTCTCCTATATATTGTCCAATAATACCATATTTTTTTTTTTTTTAATTTCAGAATTACGTCTTTTCATTGTTAACTGGATTCTGTGATCCGCCTGCCGGAATCTCACTTCGAGAAGGTCAATACTTTAACCCCTACTTCCCTGGAGGTGCTATTGGTATGGCTCCGGTAAGAAAATTCTCATTTATTACTTTTTTTTAATCTGTTCGTTCATTCCAAGTTATTCACTCATCAAAATTTTATCAGTCAAGTTCAATTACATCATCATTGTTGTAATTTTGACTTACATTCAATGAGTAATTTTTACTAATAAAAATTTCACGTAATGGAGAATACTTAAAAAAAGTTTTTTAAATTCTATTACTTACTAATTGACAAAAAAGCAAATTAGTTATTATTTTAAACTTTGCAAGATTTCATGATTTAATTTACATTTTGTAAATAAATAAGATTATCTAAATATTCAGCCAAGTAATTAAGGTTAAGACTAATTGTAAATAAATAAAAATTATAATTTACTTTTTGTAACTTAGCCCCTCTACGATGAAGTAATTGAATTCGAGGATGGAACTCCAGCAACAACATCTCAACTTGCTAAAGATATAAGCACTTTCCTTATGTGGACATCAAATCCTGAGCATGATGAACGAAAATATTTATCTATAAAGGTAATTAAGTAAAATTAAAACAAAAATTTTACATTCAAAATTTTAACATGTAATAACAAACTTAAATGTAAATTAATTTTACTTACAGACTCTTGCAGTTGGTATAATACTAATAGCTGGATGTTACTGGATGAAGAGACACAAGTGGACAACTGTCAAATCTACCAAACTAGCATTCATCCCTAAAAACAAACAGCAGTAGTAACAAATCACATAAACAAATAACTAAATAAATAAAATATTAACTCAATTTAAAACAATTTAGCTCGAAAAATAACTTACTTATTATATGAACGGTTTAGCAATCGATAACACCATCAATATTTATTGGTTTAATTTAATGCGTAGTTTTGATAATTTAAGTTGATTCAAAAACGTAAGAATTTTAAGGATGGTATTATCTAATTAAAATTATGCTTGAAGTTATTAAGAGTATGGTATTAATATGCCAGTGGTGACATAATTTAACTCTCAATAACTCAGCTGTCAATTCATACCGTATGATTGAATTCGTACAATGTACATAGATGCCAACAGTGACATCATCATCTTTAATAAATCGTTGAAAAAAAAATCCATCAACTTTTTTTATAATTATTTTTTTTTGTCTTAAACTTCATACTATGAGGAAATCAAAGTTACTCCTATATCCTCTTTCATACTTATCAATAATGAGACCCTTGTTAAATTAATATTCTATTTGTTAATTTTAAAAATTATCTTAAAAAATTAAAAATGTTAAAAATAATTATTATTAATATTAACTTTATTATTCATTTATTTATTTATTTATTTATTTATTTATTTATGGCTACAAATATTATAAATATATAATATCAAGTTTCATCATAAGATATTTAATAAAGTAGGATAATCTAAGTATATCGGTTGAATTTAATTATACAATATTTTTCAAATAATTTATTATTGCATCTTATTGAGTTTTATTTATTTTTTAATCTCCAAAACTTCATTTTTAACTACTGAGAAATGTAAGAGATATTTTATTTATATTGATATTGTAAACATTCAATATTTTTAAGCATATGCATTATCGTTTTTTTTTTTTTTTTTTTTTTTCAATTTTTAATATATAAAGCTGTTATAAAAGCAGTTAATTATTTTCCGATTATATAATTAATTTTAATCTCATTTAAAATAATAACTTGATGACTGATTAATCAACATTCTCTCTACTCAAATTTCAATTATTTTTAATAAGTGAGTTAAAATAAAACATAATTGCATAAAATCAGATTATAGTTATGTAATTTTTCATCAAATATTATGAATTAACAAGGAAGGGTAAAAATTTTAAAACTAATAAGCCAATTTGTTATTCCATTTAATTAATATACAAATAGTATATTTACTGATAATCGCATTATTGATTCTATAATTACAATTTTACAGAAAATAGCTTAAAGGAAATGCATAAAGGTTGACATCATTAATAAAAAATGAAAATTGTATGTAATTCATTAGCACTAAACTAAAAGTTAATTATGCGATTAAAAAATTCTAAAGTTAAAGTTTTTTCCAATAAGAATGACATAATTTGTTTGAGAAATAATTAAATTGAAATTGACTTCGGCTGAAAAATATTCATCATAGCAGCCACAATCTTATTTCTTTAGAACACTTCAATTTCAAAAGACAACTATAATTCATTTAAACACAAAAAAAAGTTTGACTTTTTCACTTTTAAATGTCTAAGTGTATGTATTTATGTGCCTGAATTACAGTATACTTAACTTATATTGTTTCTGTCCTTTTTATTTCAAGGGGAAAAAGGCCACCAAATAATAATAATAATAATAATAATAATAATAATAATAGAAATAGAAATAATAGTAGTAATTATAATAATATTAATAAGAATAATATTAATTAATTAATTAATTATAATTATAATAATAAAATAATAGTAAGAGTAGGATTTATTTATTTGGTACACCTTGATGTTGCCTCTTGCCGCAGTAAAAAGGAAGATACAAATTGTTGTTGTAGCTAGGCTAAAAAGTACTTCCCTCAGGTGGTTGGGATAGTTTCATATTCTCTTTCAGCGTCATTAAACGACGGAGTTCCTGCAAAACTGTTTTAATTGTGTATTCTCGTTGCCATTTGACCAACATAGGCACACTGCGATTATCCACCTTTTGACGAAAATAAAAGAACCGTTTTAATTTATAATTTGAATAAATTATTTAAAAAAAAAAAAAAAAAAAAAAAAAAAAAAAAAAAAAAAACTAATTTTACTTTTCATAAAAAAAATATAATAGTAAAGTTAGCCGACATTTTTAATTTTTTTATTTTGCTTAATTGATTAAATTATTACTAAAAAATATTTTTAAAAAATTGTACTGATAGTTTTTGAAGTTTTTAACAAATGAAAAAAATTCTTTTTTATTTTTTTGTAATAATTCTTGAATAAAAAAAATCGTAAAAATTTTTAGATGTCGGCTAACTTTATATTCATAAAAAAAAAAATTAAAATTTTTTCTTTCAACAACAAATGCAGATTTCTCTACTAATATTAATAATAGTTAAAAATACACTTTAAAATTTTAAGAAATTAAAAAAAAAATTACCGCTCCAGTGTTGCTGTTGATACAATTCATGTTGATTCTACTTAAAAATCTTACACTCGGTGCATCATCTGGGTATCTAGCCCCGCAATCAATTTTTAAACTGTACATTCTATTCTCATACGGTGTCTAGAAATTAAAAAAAATTATTTTTTTTCAATTGCATTTTTCGGAATAAATTTTCATTAAAAATAATCAATGAAAAAATTGATTAATAAAAAATTACCCTCGGTGGTCCGATAATCATTCCGGTCCAATGAGTCAGAGTCATGTCATCATCATTTTCTAATCCCCAACTAATTGTACCATCTCCAACACCTTTTTGTCCCTGCTCCAATTCTTCCAATAGACGGAAATTTCTAGGAACCACTAGATAAAACGAATTAACAAAAATAATTGATAAATTCTCTGGATCAATTAAATAAAAATTTATTAACGTATCTATAATTCAATAATTTTCTGACAATTTTTAAATATTATCAAATTTAAAAAATTTAAAAGTAATTTCTTGATGTAATTGCATAACAAACAACTATTGAATTCATTCCATTTGCATCAAATATGACTCGGTTAAATATTCCAACAATAAGATATGTATACACACTAACTACAGATAGACATGTTTGTTAAGTTAAAACATTAATAATAAAAATTGTCAAACAATCAATTGCCATTTTCATTTCATTCTATTTTTTTATTTTAAATTTAGATCTATAATTTAATAGAAGTAATTGAAGTATATTCATACGCGAGATTACAAAAATGAAATATTAATATTTTATATGAAAATTTAGCCTTACCTACACCGGCCGTGGGAACCGCCATGATATCGTAATTTAGCAGAACACGTTACTTTATTCTTAATAACTCCGTCTAGCCGGATATCCTAATATATTGTAAACAAAATGGTTAATTAATTGAAAATTTATTTGTAGTTTAATAATGTAAGTTTATTTTCAAAACAATAAAACACGAACCTGGATTAATTGTAATTATTAAGTTTTAGTGTCAAATTATTTTGACCAAACTTCAACCAACCTCCCTTTGAGGTTGTCTCGTTGCATAAACTATATCACTCGTCTCGAGACAACACACTCTTTTAGAAAAATCTAAAATTTACTTTCATAATTTCATCAACAGATGGCAGCTCTGTTGAATTTTGGTTGTCTGTTTTTAAATTTTGATTGATTTTTATTTTGATAATTATAACATTTATAACTTTTCATTGAAATTTTCATTAATTTTGTCAATTGGCGTTGAAAAACTCATACATTGATGACTGTAAAAAATTCCTAAGCATTTCCATCTTCATTTTTTTTTTAACAATAAAAAATGTCGGAACTCTGCTACTTTCACAGCGCACGCATATTATTTTTTTACAAAACGAACATGTACATACATACATATATATGTACTTTGGAGTGAGCTGCGTTATGTGATTGCACGCGGTTTAACCTCTAATATTTAAATATTGTTATCGAAATAATAACAAAAACTAATAAAAAATTATAACAAAAGCAAAATATTAAAGAAAATTGTTTGTTTTTTTAAGGTAATTGTACAATTTTATTTTTCATCAATCATAGAATAATTTATAATAAACATATTTCAACTCATTACAATGCTTTTTTTTAAAAATAAATATCATTTTACAAGTTAAACAGCTAATTCACTCAATTGGTACTAATTTATTTATATGTATGTATACTTTTTGTAAAACACCAGATGATGATAAAAATAAAATTTCTTCATTCATAGTTAATTCATACATAGGGTCATAAACAATTAATCATTTTATAACATAATTGACATGAATGTCAGAATGTAATACTACAAATCAAATGTACTGAGTACCAGTATAGATTCTTCTCAATACCATCACTAATTTAATTTATTTATGTTCTTACAGAGATTAACAAAGTGATAAAGCAATATAAAAAAAAAATGGATGATTTTACACCTGTTAAACGACCTAAGCCTGGCGATGGTGAGGAAGAACTCTTTCGGATGCAGGAAGAGTTTGTTAAATCTCGTCAAAAGCCATCAGCAAAGGTTATTAATTTACGAGCTCAACATAAAGAAGCAATTGTGAAATCAACAAATGAAGACAATAAACAATCAGATACTAAATTCCGATCAAAATTTGCTGAAATGAGAGCATTAAAGACAGTAGAAAAAGCGGCTCAACTTCAATCTAATGAAAATATAAGTAGTGAGCATTCTTCAAAAGATGTTCCCAATGCATCTACATCTAAGTTACTTGATCCAATTCGACATGTACCTTTGGATGCTTATAAACCTTTATTAGGGAATATAGTAGAGAAAAAATGTAAATCTAGTGATCAAAAATCACTTAAACACATGGATAATTTTGAAAATAAAACTGGATTTCCATCAGTTTTTAAAATCGATCATAAAACATCTGCTGGTAGTTCCAATAGTTTATTTTATCAAACTAGTTTGATCAATAAAGAATTAAACGAGGTTGTAGCAAGTAGTAGTGATGATAAAATTATTGATATTAATCCAAGTGATTCAATACAAGATTCTGTACGTTCAGAAATTCATAAAAGCAATGTTGAAAAGCTAAATAGTATGACAAAAGAAGAGATTTTGGAGGAAAAAAAACGATTGGAAAGTACCTTGGACCCTAAATTATTAGAATTTCTTCGAGCTAGAAAAAAACCTGCAAGCTCAGAATATAAAATTAAAGTTGTAGAACCAAAAACCATGAAGCCTGATTCTAAAGAAGACGTTAATAAAATGGAATGCGAGCCAATACCTCAAGAGCCGCCAGCTCCTGTGACAGAAATGGTTGAGCAAGCATCAGATAAAGGATGGGTTCATATGGACAAGGTGGAATCAGAAAAATTGGAATGGATGAAAGAAATAGAACCTAGTAAAGATGGCGAATCGACACCAGACGAGCCTTATAATGCACGTTTTGACTTTAATGGTTTACTTTTACCTTTCAAAGACGATGAATTATTGAATAAAGGCTTGCACAATCACGGTGACGAGCCTGATCGTCCAGGTTATACGCTTCAAGAGTTATTACAGCTCAGTCGATCTTCAACTCAACAGCAGCGTTGCACAGCACTGACTACTTTAGGTAATATTATGGAAAAAAGCCGTAAAGGTTGGTACGACAAGGCATTGAATCCTCCACCTCTTGGTGCTTTAAGTCAAAGAAATATTATTTTATTATTGAGGTTTTCATTAGATGATAAATCCGTTGCGGTTATTACTGCAACTCTACAAGCGCTTAGAGCATTTTTATGTAGTGAAGCTGATGAAGTTTGTATGGATAGACTCTGTGGATGGGAATATCCTGACGGGAACTGTTTAGTTCCTGAATTACCGGCACCTAAACACGATGTTGAGGACATAAGCACTCTGAAAGATCATCAGCTAGCACAACTAGACAGTATTGCTGCTATCATGAGATCAGATATTATTTTACGTATCAGATATATATTGAGTGAACTACAACCGCCTCCTATAGGAGTAACATCAGCTTTGGAAATATTAATTCGTCTGGCTCGACATTCACGCATAACCGCTTTAAATATTGCTACGACTCCCCAATTGTTGGATACAATTGTCAAAAATTTCATACCATTGACTACTGAACGACTTGTAAATTTTGATACTGAAAAGGCTTATGGAGTTCCTAATGTCACAGCAATTCGATTGTGTCGAATATTGGTGGAGTATGGTGGAAGACCCGTCGCAGATCGTCTCAATAATTTAAAAATAATTCATTCTTTTTTGTCGTACAGTAACAGTAATGCAGGTGAAACGGGACTTCGGCTGGCGATCGAAGCTTTACGTTTGTGGCGATTAATCTGTAGCAATAACGTTGCTACAGACAGCATTTCCGGAGCGAAATTAATATTAGGTTCACAATTGCAGCTTTTATTAAGCAATCATGACCTGACAAGTGCCTCTGAACTGTCTTGCGAGTATGCTACAGCACTTGTAGCTCTTTCTTCTCGTGAAGGAACTTTAAGACCTACTATATCTACACTATTGACCAAATGGAGTACGCAACTAGCTAAAGTTTCTTCAGCCACATGGAGTACTACGAAGCTTGTTGCTGTGACGTTAACATCACTTAATGATTTATCGCCATTGAAAACTGAATGGACAAATAATTCAAAAATTTTTAGTAACATTTGCTCCAGTTCAAATTTACTGAGTACTTGTGTGCCAGCTAGTGAAAGAGATCCATCATCACTTCCGAGTTTAGGAGTCCTCACTCAGGATGGTGAAGTCCAGCCAGCTGTATCATTAAACTGTTGTTTTCCGTTTTTGGCAACACTCTGTGATGCAATGATAAAATCATCAAAGTTTCATGACTTCGAAAAGATTATTCAAAACCCGGATGTAATTAAATATTTTCGACAATTGGTGAACTACCATTGGTCGCTAGAATTTAGTTGGTACTCTCGAGCAGAATTATTTTTTATTACGACTATTGTTAGAGCTTGTGCAAAATTTCCAACTAGTGATTTGATAAACGAAATTATTTGGAAAATAGCTGTTAAATTAATATCAACATTACCAGCAGATGCTTCTCGTGCCGTAAATGAAGTTCTTGGCATTGTTCTTTCTAATGAAAGATTAGCAATCGATCGACTTGCCGAAGATTTAAATGCAATGAAATTAAATAGTGGGGGTGAAAATATTACCCTTAAATTGCCAAATAATATTTCTGATATTTACAAACAGTACATTACATCGAAAAACTGCTGGAACGAAGCTGCGATGCCTCAAGATTGGCCGTACATGCCGCTAGTCGATGCTTATTCTAATCACAAAAATAAAATCGGCTGGAATGAGAATGATACAATAAAAATAACTGTTGTATTAAGTTTGGAATTAGCTATGCGTGAAGTTTTCTACAGTTTAGCTCCGACAGTAAGATTTTCACGGTTGGTTCTCGTTTACCTTTGTGATACAGTTTATTTAAATGATAATGTATCTTTTTTACTCAAACGAGCTACGTTTGAATTAATAAGTAAATATTACAAACGATTCAATTTTTCAAGCGACTTACCTGGTGTTGGCTCATTCAATGATGTCTTCACATCGATATGCGAGTGTTTTATAGCTAATTCTTATGGTGATGAAGGATTCGCAGTCTGTTTATTAGTACCAATAGCTCAGCGACATGATGCACATTATAGAAAATTATTGTGGTCTGAACACGCTGGAGCTCTCAGATACTTAAAATTATCCCCAGAAAAATTAGCTTGTCCTGTTGAGGAATATCTATATCCACTTGAGCAAGACATATCATTGATAGAATCATATTTGACAGCTTTAGTAAGAAAAACAATAAAAAAAGAATGGTGTCCTTTGATGTACATGATTGCTATCCATCATTCAGCAATGTTTTTACGTGATACGTCTCCATTCGCAGGCAAAATGCGTTCCCGGATATCAAAAATAAGTGACCACGAGTTAGCGGAATGCCTATTAAATTATTCACCACCTGTAAATAATTAAAAATTTAATCATAATCTGTAATTATGTTAGAATTTGTTTTTTTTTTTTTACGTGTTTTGAGTACAGGTATTCATTCTACACCTCCACACATACATACTTGCAGTGGGGAATATATAAATAATGTAAATAAATGGTGATTCAAAAAGTTTCTTTCCTGTTGTATGAATAATAATGATTAAAACAGATTAGTTGTAAGACAATCGTATTATACATATAAGTTATGTAATATTTTTTTTCTCTTTTGTTAGAATAAAATAATACTCGTCAAATAAAGTTTGTTTTACATTAACTTTTTGAGTTTTTGTTTTGATTTTTTAACTATACATTTATTCGTTTAATAATATATTTTATGTAGTAATGTTTTTAATAAAAAAAATTCCAAAAAATTGTCAGATGTCTGTTAATCTCATTTTTATTATTTTTGTGTTTATTTAAAAAATTTAGTAATTAATTAAAACCAAATTTTCACAATTTTTAATCATGAAAGGAAAAGTGTATTAATCATTTTTGAATATCACCAATTATGGCGCCATAGGCGCTTCAAGAAAAGAAGGATAGATGGATACTTCAAATTGTGTTGATATTTATTATTATCCTACTGATAGTGACAGTATAAGTCCATACTTGAAAATTACTTATTAATATATGTTAATGTATGATAAAATTTTTTTAATCGTATTAATAATGAGAAATACAAATTTATAGAACTGTTATCACTACAAACATCGAGATAATGCAATAAAATATAATTATTTTTATCGGCATTATTACAAAAATTGTATACAAATACAGTTATCAATGCATTATTTACATCCTCGAAATCAATTAAATCATTTAAAATTATTTTGGTTCAAACTAAAACGAAAATACTAAACAAAATTTATTCAAGCTAATTTTTAATGTGATCGATTTATTCTAATTATTTACTACCTTAAGAAAAATAATAATTTTTTATATGACAAAATATTAAACAGAGAGTATTTTCTCGATTATTTATTGAATGGTAAGAGTATCTATATTTTGATACAAAAAATTTTATTTATCAATGTTGGACATGAATAAGCGATCGATCGATAATACGTATTTCAACCGCAAAAAATACCTTTTTTCCCGGAGTAGAAAGCCTGACCAAAAAACAAAAAACGGAATGAGAAATGGAATGTTAGAAAACGATAATGTAGCTCTTTCTATATATTTCATCGGCCATTACTAAAAAATCGTATCCAAGATATGTTCAAAATAAAAGCATATTTGATGTTGTTATCTATTTTATACTGGCGAAAATTACATTGTCATATAGATTGTATGGTAAGTATAATTTATTCATAGAACATGAAAGTTTTACTCTATATTCTTTTGAATATAAACACAACATTTTTTTACAGTAACTATTTACATTTTTCAGAACTATTTTTGTAATAAAATCATATATTTTACTTCCATTTTTTTTTATATTTTCCGTTGAGGTTAAAATCTAAACGTCAAATAATTCAAATTCGGGTTTTTTGATTATTTACAATAAAATAAAAATTGTTATAAGTCTATATACTCCTTTACAAATTTTATTTTTTATAATTTTTTTTCACAATGCTATAAAGTAATTTGTGAAAAAAAATTTTCCTTAAATCATAAATAAATTGCGATGTGATCATTAACAATAAAAAAATCCCTTAGAATGATCATAGTCTCCAGAGACTACTTCAACACCGCTCTTGAATGATAGCATGTTACGTACAGCAGACAGTTCAGTGTAGTAAAAAATTAAAGTACAGTATCCATATAATTACATTTTATACATTTTATTTTGAATTGTTGAATTAAAATAATGCTCTACGTTTATTTCATTAATGACCCTCTTTTATTAAGATGTTTCGTAGACGTATTAAAATAAATTCTGTTTTTTTTTTTTTTTACAAATTATGTTCATCATAATAAAAAAAAAGGCCTTTTATTGTAAAACATGTTTCTGAACCATTGCGGATAAATTTAAATAAAAGTTAAAAATAAATAAATCTGCTGAAATGTCAATGTTGGATTTTATGTAATAAACTAAATTATTACCTTGCGAAGCATTTCCTCAAGAGACTCCATGTTAACAGTTGACTCGTTTTCTGCTTGAACGGGTTGAACCATTTGTAAGTATTTCTGCTCGGGATTTACCCGCGCGTAATATGCCGAATTATTGATTGGAATACACAAACTATATACAAATATGGGGTGTTAAACTAATACGTAAATCTTATTTCATGTGTGTGGATGAATGAACAAATTTATAAATTACACCAGGTAGCATCAGTTAATCAATCTTTAAATTAATGAATAAACTACACCCATCTATTTTATGCTTCATGTAATATTTATCAAAGTCTACTGTGAACATTGGCATTTGCAACTATTTGTTATTTAAATAACTCCGATTCATTCACAAATATCAAGATTACTTGTAAGTAACTTTATACCCTTCGTAATAATAATAACTAATAACGCTAAAATTTCTATATCCATCATTAATCTAATTAAAGTTTGGACGAAACAAACTTTCCATTTGATGTAATTTACAAGTAAACACAAAACATCTCGCTGACATCAAAAGGAATTTAGTGAACGAATTTTTGCAGACGTATTCAATTACTGTGCTTTAAGTATTATTATATTCATTGCATTTTTGATGGAAGAAAATACTATTTCAAACAGTAATATTCGCTATGTAAATGTCTAAAATGTTTAAGTATAATAATTAAGAATTCAAACTTTGATATTCATCATTTCGTACCTAAAAAATGATGTTATGATATGTAAAAAGTATAAAATAAAGTTAGTAAATTTCTAATACAAGCAACTTCAATATTTACAAAGTAAAATGGTAAATTTTAAACGCAACGCTAAAAATCAAACTGTAATTATTGACTTGCTGGGACTGATAAAATGTATATTTTAAAAGTATAATTTTTACTGTTTCAAATGTTAAATTCTCCCAGAGTGAGACCCCCTTTTCTTTCATCTGAGTTCCCCTTCTTCTCATAATATATGGACTATATATTGAAATGGCAATTTTTACTGTTTGAAACTGTAATTTTTTAAGATGAAAGAGTCGTTATTTACTATAGTGTCAGCTACTAATCATTTATTTTGGATATTAAATTATAAATTGTGGCTTTTATACTTTCTACATTAAGTTCTGTAATATTTATATTTTTGCCACCCCGATGTCCGCTTTACTGTTTGAAACTATAAAAATTAACCGGAATCCGAGTGAATATTACAGTTTACTTTTTTCCGTGTTTGAAAACAAAAATAATGAAGAGGAAAAGCTATCAAATCATTCAAATTTGTATTCTTCTAATTAATTATTCGAATAAAATAAAAATTTCCTAAAGCTTTAAGATATCTTATTTTTTTTTATTTTTCCAAATTGAGAACTTATTGAGTCACTACTCAGTTTCTATATCCTTCAATTTTAGTATTAGGATCTCAAAAATGAAGATTTAATAAAAGAAATAAGACCTTTGAAGATGTGATAAAAAAATTACATCAACATTGAATTTTATTGGAAGTAAATTTATTTATTAGTAAGTAGCTGTTTATTTATGTATTATGAATAATTATGAGTAGTGATTTAATAAAATATTTTCTCAGTTGGAGATGCGAGAAGAAATCTGTTGAAAATGATTAAAATTAAAAAAAAAAAATGATGGAATTGCGTGTCTTTCGTCGATAAATAAAATGATAGTGAAGCAAAGAAAGAAAAAGAGGAAGACAGATGGCCAAAAAATGAAAATAAAAATAAATTTATTATGAAATCACTCGAAAAATACGATGAATAGTTTGAAAATAAGAGAAAGAATGAGAGAGCATATGCGATTCATGCTTTCTATTTTTGATGATATATCTTTTACTTTAACAGAGACTATTTTAACCAATGTATAAATTATCCGTCGCCTGAGGTAACACTATTCGTATTTTTTTTGCCATACACTATCAAATTTTCAGTATATACTCATAGTTAGAATTGTAGTTTACTTTTTTACCCAACGATAAGAGGTATCTTACGAAATAAAATATTGTAAACCAATGAAGAATGAAAAAAAAAGTCTTATTACAAATTGGGAAAAAGAAACTAAAGTAACATAAAATAAAAAAGTCAAGAGCTAAGCTCTATTTTAAGAGAGGGTATTTTTACAGCCGCGTTTGGTGTTAGAGTACCAAAAACAACAATAACGGCAATAGTTGTTTTGTTGAGTGTTATGTGCACTAGCAATGACAAAAAAGAAATGTGTTTCCTGCCGACGCGTCATCTTGACGAGAATGAAACTCTTTGAAAATAACAAATCTACGATCTTCATAAAAAAGATATGAAAAATTTTTGAACTTTCAAGTACCTATATGTGTGTAGAAAGTTGGTGTAAAAATAGTATCTTCAAAGAAAGAAAAAAAGTAATTAACTAAAATATATCTATTCTATAATTTATGAAAATATAAATATTTCTTACCCGGAATTATATTATATGTATTAAATCTTAATGGGTTATGACAACAAACTGGAGCATATAAAGTATAAATCATTAACCACTGAGATTGCTATATTTACTATGTACATAGGAGTGTGGATACTCTTAATGAGTCACTAGGCAGATCAACTTATGTATTTATTATTACTGTGTATACTGCCCGAATGAATTCTAAAAGAGAAGCCAAGTTAGATAATTAAATCCTTTATTCTATTTTTTTTTTTTTTGTTTTTATTAACTATAGAATCACTATTTTTAGAATGCAATCAGGTATCTGAATATAATTGATTTAAAAATGGAATTATGTGATATTATGCAATATAAATTGAGCAAAAATGATAAGAAATAAATGAAAAAGATATTATTGGATGTGAATATCTGGACTGGACATTGTCTTTCATTTAGATGAATTCACTTTGTTTGAAATTCGTTAACAGTTATGTCACAGTGATAACAAAGTAACGAGATGAATTGGTGAAGGTCATTTGAACT